TCTTTTATTGGCCAGTCTGAGATATGGCTTTTTCTTTGCAACTCTGCCTAGAAGGTCAGCATCCCGGAGTCGCCTCTTCACTGTTGACGTTGAGACTGGTGTTTTGCGGGTACTATTTAATGAAGCTGCCAGTTGAGGACATGTGAGGCGCCTGTTTCTCAAACTAGACACTAATGTATTTGTCCTCTTGCTCAGTTGTGCACCGGGGCCTCCCACTCCTCTTCTATTCTGGTTAGAGACAGTTTGCACTGTTCTGTGAAGGGAGTAGTAAACAGCGTTGTACGAGATCTTCAGTTTCTTGGCAATTTCTCACATGGAATAGCCTTCATTTCTCAGAACAAGAATAGACTGCCGAGTTTCAGAAGAGTTCTTTGTTTCTGGCCATTTTGAGCCTGTAATCGAACCCACAACTGCTGCTGCTCCAGATACTCAACTATTCTCAAGAAAGCCAGATTTATTGCTTCTTTAATCAGCGCAACAGTTTTCAGCTGTGCTAACATAATTGCAAAAGGGTTTTCTAATGATCAATTAGCCTTTCAAAATGATAAACTTGGATTAGCAAACAAAACATGCCATTGGAACACAGGACTGATGGTTGCTGATAATGGGCCTCTGTATGCCTATGTAGATATTCCATTAAAAATCAGCCATTTCCAGCTACAATATCCATTTACAACATTAACAATGTCTACACTGTATTTCTGATCAATTTGATGTTATTTTAATGGACATTTTTTTGTGCTTTTCTTTCAAAAACGAGGACATTTCTAAGTGACCCCAAACTTTTGAACGGTAGTGTCCATGTACAGTAGGTAGAGTTATTAAAGTGACTATGCATAGATAATAAACAGAGAGTAGCAGCAGCGTAAAAGAGGGGGGGTGGGGGGCAATGCAAATAGTCTAGGTAGCCATTTGATTAGATGTTCAGGAGTCTTATGGCTTGGGGGTAGAAGCTGTTTAGAAGCCTCTTGGACCTAGACTAGGCGCTCCGGTACCACTTGCCATGCGGTAGCAGAGAGAACAGTCTATGACTAGGGTGGCTGGAGTCTGACAACTTTTAGGGCCTTCCTCTGACACCGCCTGGTATAGTGGTCCTGAATGGCAGGAAGCTTGGCCCCAGTGATGCACTGGGCCGTACGCACTACCCTCTATTCATGTAGTGCCCTTATTGCAAGTCTGATACTACTGTTTTAATACCCATTATATAAGGATGTTTTGATATCCTTTTGGGTCCATTTCAACTGGGTAAGGAAACCTATCCTAGCTGGTAACTTGAATGATGATGCTTCCCATGGGAGGTCTGTCTGACATCACTGTGAACTCTCCTGTCTGTCACTGTCATAATCCCTCTACTGGGTCATGTTCGTTAGGGCACACCGTAACAAAACATTTTAAAATGCTGTGCAACGTTAAACTAAAATGAGTTTTTCAGATAGTACCTCCCCATTTCAGAACGATTTCCTCCGTTTGGTGCCTAATGAACATGACCCATGGTATTATATGAGATTGTCAAGGAGGACGGATTTACAGTGAGGGAAAAAAGTATTTGATCCCCTGCTGATTTTGTACGTTTGCCAACTGACAAAGACATGATCAGTCTATAATTTTAATGGTAGGTTTATTTGAACAGTGAGAGACAGAATAACAACAAAAAAATCAAGAAAAACACATGTCAAAAATGTTATAAATTGATTTGCATTTTAATGAGGGAAATAAGTATTTGACCCCTCTGCAAAACATGACTTAGTACTTGGTGGCAAAACCCTTGTTGGCAATCACAGAGGTCAGATGTTTCTTGTAGTTGGCCACCAGGTTTGCACACATCTCAGGAGGGATTTTGTCCCACTCCTCTTTGCAGATCTTCTCCAAGTCATTAAGTTTTCGAGGCTGACGTTTGGCAACTCGAACCTTCAGCTCCCTCCACAGATTTTCTATGGGATTAAGGTCTGGAGACTGGCTAGGCCACTCCAGGACCTTAATGTGCTTCTTCTTGAGCCACTCCTTTGTTGCCTTGGCCGTGTGTTTTGGGTCATTGTCATGCTGGAATACCCATCCACAAACCATTTTCAATGCCCTGGCTGAGGGAAGGAGGTTCTCACCCAAGATTTGACGGTACATGGCCACATCCATCGTCCCTTTGATGCGGTGAATTTGTCCTGTCCCCTTAGCAGAAAAACACCCCCAAAGCATAATGTTTCCACCTCCATGTTTGACGGTGGGGATGTTGTTCTTGGGGTCATAGGCAGCATTTCTCCTCCTCCAAACATGGCGAGTTGAGTTGATGCCAAAGAGCTCCATTTTGGTCTCATCTGACCACAACACTTTCACCCAGTTCTCCTCTGAATCATTCAGATGTTCATTGGCAAACTTCAGACGGGCACGTATATGTGCTTTCTTGAGCAGGGGGACCTTGCGGGTGCTGCAGAATTTCAGTCCTTCACGGCATAGTGTGTTACCAATTGTTTTCTTGGTGACTATGGTCCCAGCTGCCTTGAGATCATTGACAAGATCCTCCCGTGTAGTTCTGAGCTGATTCCTCACCGTTCTCATGATCATTGCAACTCCACGAGGTGAGATCTTGCATGGAGCCCCATGCTGAGGGAGATTGACAGTTCTTTTGTGTTTCTTCCATTTGCGAATAATCGCACCAACTGTTGTCACCTTCTCACCAAGCTGCTTGGCGATGGTCTTGTTGCCCATTCCAGCCTTGTGTAAGTCTACAAATCTTGTCCCTGACATCCTTGGAGAGCTCTTTGGTCTTGGCTATGGTGGAGAGTTTGGAATCTGATTGATTGATTGCTTCTGTGGACAGGTGTCTTTTATACAGGTAACAAACTGAGATTAGGAGCACTCCCTTTAAGAGTGTGCTCCTAATCTCAGCTCGTTACCTGTAGAAAAGACACCTGGGAGCCAGAAATCTTTCTGATTGAGAGGGGTCAAATACTTATTTCCCTCATTAAAATGCAAATCAATTTATAACATTTTTGACATGCGTTTTTCTGGATTTTTGTTGTTGTTATTCTGTCTCTCACTGTTCAAATAAACCTACCATTAAAATTATAGACTGATAATGTCTTTGTCAGTGGGCAAACATACAAAATCAGCAGGGGATCAAATACTTTTTTCCCCCTCACTGTATTTCCTTCTTCCTGGATACTTCGTCAGGCTTATTAAACATTTTCACCTGTGGGCATAGAATGACCGAATGCTGGGACTGTGCATGAGAAACCTTGACACGCCACAGCAGTGACACAAACACACCACACATGAAGCAGGTGGTCTTGGCTACAGCTTCAAAGCCACTCTGCTCAGTCTTTGATCTAGGGAAGGGTAAAGGGGATACCTAGTCAGTTGCACAACTCTATGCATTCAACCGAAATGAGTCTTCCACATTTATCCCAACCCCTCTAGGTTCTCTGATGAAATCATATCCACACACTGGCAGTGGAAATGTTACCACCACAGTAACTTTGCATGCAATTAATCTGTATCACAGCAACAGACTCCATTAAATGGGAACACCACCCAAAAGGTAAATGTATGGACATTCAATCATTAACAGTGCCTCAAAACCAGTCTTAACATTCACTCAAGCATCAAGTGGTCAATTGGAAACCTAGGAACCATAGCCAGTACATGTAATGTTTAGTTATGTGCAATATGTCTACAGCTGAGGAATGTAACTGAAGCCATAAAAATAAGAAATACAATACACAACCCATGTATCAACCCTAATCTACACTATTATAAATGCTGAATAAGACTAAAGGTAGGAGGCATTGATTGTGTGTGGGCAGACTGGGCACTGGAAAACACATGAAGCTGAATACTGCCATGAATTCATACGTCCGATAGCTAGCTACTGCAGTGTGTTCTAGGGGGTTTGGAAAGAGAAGCCAATAATACAAGAGTATCTAAATGACACTTGTGGAAGAAGGTGAAACGTGTGGAAGAATGTGAAACGTGAGGAAGAAGGTGAAACGTGTGGAAGGTGGTGAAACGCGTGGAAGGTGGTGAAACGCGTGGAAGAATGTGAAACGTGAGGAAGGTTGTGTAAAACTCACCAGGGGGGCTTGTGGGTAGAGCGAGGTGGACAGAGCATGCAGACACCAACAAGACACTTTCAGCAATTCATCTTTACTATTGAGGAAATCATGTATTGTACATTACTTATTAACACTGTCCAGCAAGGCTGAGGTTTGTGTCTGTCCAGTCAAATTCTGCTTGTAAAATCTGGATTAATAATATCTAACAAAAGGCACATCAAATCTGCAACAACAAAAAGAAGTATCCCTGAATGAATAACTTAATTGTAATTAATTATAAGAGTCAATGTTAATGTTAGTAACCATAACCCCACCATAAGTTCAGCATGCAATTCTGTTCTCACTCAGCAACTTAAACCAGCAAAATACACTAATGTTGTATTAAAAGATTATTCTTATCTTATACTTTTTGAATTCAGTATTCATGGAATTAGTTAATCATATTCCATGATTACTGAATATATTTTCGCACCCATATCTGTACATTTTATTGCATATGAAAATGTCTTATCTGACAAAAAGTACACATCAAATATTATAGCAAAGACCAAAACGAATCTCCTTATCAAAAATCAAACCCACTGCTTGAAGAAAAAGAGATAAATGCATGCAAACCAGAAAAGGTTATGAATGTTAGCTTGTCCTGAGGCAGAAAGTTGTGAGTTATGGATGATAATAAAACGACAGAGCCAGACGTGAGAGTTCAGATCCTCACTGTAAGGTTGAGTCCAGTGTTGTGTGTTGGATTTAAATCCACGTGGGCGTGTACAGTAGGTGTTGTATTCGAGTGCTCTCTCCAAGATCTTCAGTGCTCTCTCTTTATGTTCATATGTGCTTCGCCATCCACTGGATGAGTAGCCAACCAGCCTTCTCTGTGTATGTCTCTCCATATATAGGAGTCCAGTGCCATATTTACTTGTCTCTCACGCTCTCTCCCCAGTCTCTCCTCTATCAGAAGACTAGCCTGTTGACAGTGTTGAACCCACCACCTCCTCCTCCTCCTCCTCCTCCTCCCCCCGAAGGACCACAGCTGCCCGGGGGTTCGTTGTCGTCTGATCCATTGGGCCTGAACGAGCAGGAGGCCGAGGCCGCCTGGAGAGCTCGGGTCCGCGCGTTCAGCTCCTGTTCCTATTGGACAAAGAGAAGGAGTTTAGGACAATTAAGCACTTTGTTCAGAGGGTCGTGTTCATTAAGCACCAAATGGAAGAAAACAGACTGAAACAGGCAGGGACTACCTGGACTTGAGCAATAAGAAACGCTTACTTAAATTTTCCGTTGCAGAATGTTTTAAAACGTTGCATCTCCTAATGAACATGACCCAGGAGTTTAGGTATTCTGTCTGAGCAAGAAGATGCTGCTCTGCTGCCCTCTAGTGGTTACATTGGGATTCCTGCAACTGTGTGGTTGAAGTAATTTTGTTTTTTTTGAGAGCTTATTGACTCATGAAATTTCACTTGACTAATTGAGTCTTGAAAGCATAAGGGAAATGTGTAACATGTGTATGGTTGGCTTTCTGAACACTCGCAACATGTTTTGATCAAAGCTTGTTCAGAACTACTTTAATCCTGTCAATGGATACATGGAAAACACAGGGCCCTATTAAATTGAACATGGGCACAATTTGAAAGGATAATTTCCAAATACAGGTCCAAATGAGGAGAGCAAACCGTGACTAGACGTTACCAGAAATACCCTGAAGAATATGGAAATGTAATTGACAGACGCCCCCCGCCCCCCCCATTAAAAAAAACATATTTTCACACTATCACTGACTTTGCTGATAACCAGGGGCGCAACTTTGGTTTTAGAAGTGGGGGGGATATATATATATATTTTTTTTCTTCACATTCCAATTATAAAACTGGGGGGGACAAAAATGCTATTTCAGAATGTGGGGGATCATGTCTCCCCCCGTCCCTAGTGAAAGTTGCGCCCCTGCTGATAACTACTTTGTTGAGGGAAAATGTACTGATACGATTATGATGCGTTGTCTCACCTAGCTGTCGTAAAATGAATGCATTAAATTGTAAGTCGCTCGGGAGAAGAGCGTCTGCTAAACGACTAAAAATGTAAATACGAATGCATTCACCTCAGTGCTAATCAAGCAATTAGAGGAAGGTTACCGGAGGCTAGCGTGATCATAAGTGAACACATTCCACTTCCCTGGGCCAACACATTAGCATAGCCTGATGCATCACTCAGTCAGGATCACACTAAACGGTTAGGCTAATGTTAATGGCCGCGTCACCCCTCCTTGGCCTGTATTTAGTGACAGGAATGACAGGCGCCGACACAGGGTGGGACTGGAGGGCTTTTTATATAGAGATAATTGGGTTGAGTAGGAGAGAGTGAATCAGCTTTGCACCCTTCGCTACCCTGTTATCTAAACCGGTCATGGACAGAGATGAAAGTAGAGTATTATATTATGGGCTGTTGCCCTCTAGTGGTTAAGAGGGCAGGGGTCAAATGTGAGGCTTGCACTCTGATAACCTTAAAAGGAAATCGTCTTTTTAGTTTCAAACCAAATATTAACATACTGTAAATTTAAGTGAGTAGAGCACTTGGATAGACGCAAGCAAACAGAAAACGCCTCATTCACTATACTCTACAATGGCGCCAGAGGGGATGGCTGCCGTTTTATGGACTCTTAACCAACCGTGCTAGTTTGTGGTTTAATTTGCATTGTTTGTAACTTATTTTGTACATAATGTTGCTGCTACCGTCTCTTCTGACCGAAAAGAGCTTCTGGACATCAGAACAGCGATTACTCACCTTGAACTGGATGAACACTTTTTCTTTAATGAGTCGGACGAGAGGGATTTGCTCCAGACACCCGACAGGGCCCTCATCCCAGTCATTCGCAGTAGAAAGAAAAGGAGATATCGCGGAAGGAGATCGGGGTGCCTGGTAAGGAGCCGGAGACGAGTGGCTAATCTGCCTTCGCCATCGATACTATTGGCCAATTTACAATCGCTTGGCCCCGTGTAGTTCAGTTGGTAGAGCATGGCGCTTGCAACGCCAGGGTTGTGGGTTCGTTTCCCATGGGGGGCCAGTATGAAAAAATGTATGCACTCACTAACTGTAAGTCGCTCTGGATAAGAGCATCTGCTAAATGACTAAAATGTCAAATGTAATAAAGTGGACGAACTACAAGACGATCCTACCAACGGGACATAAAAACGGTAATATCTTATGTTTCACCGAGTCATGGCTGAATGAAAACATGAATAACATACAACTGGTGGGTTATACACTGTATCGGCAGGATAGAACAGCAGCCTCTGGTAAGACAAGGGGTGGCGGTCTATGCATATTTGTAAACAACAGCTGGTGCACGATATCTAAGGAAGTCTCAAGGTTTTGCTCGCCTGAGGTAGAGTATCTCATGATCAGCTGTAGACCACACTATTTACCTAGAGAGTTTTCATCTATATTCTTTGTAGCTGTCTATTTACCACCACAAACTGATGCTGGCACTAAGACCGCACTCAATGAACTGTATACGGCCATAAGCAAACAGGAAACCGCTCATCCAGAGGCGGCACTCCTAGTGGCCGGGGACTTTAATGCAGAGAAACAAATCCGTTTTACCTCATTTCTACCAGCATGTTAAACATGCAACCAGAGGGAAAAAAAACTTTAGACCACCTTTACTCCAAACACAGAGACGCGTACAAAGCTCTCCCTCGCCCTCCATTTGGCAAATCTGACCATATTTCACTTCTCCTGATTCAGGCTTACAAACAAAAACTAAAGCAGGAAGCACCAGTCAATAAAAAAAGTGGTCAGATGAAGCAGATGCTAAGCTACAGGACTGTTTTGCTAGCACAGACTTGAATATGTTCCGGGATTCTTCCAATGGCATTGAGGAATATACCACATCAGTAACTGGCTTCATCAATAAGTGCATTGATGACGTCGTCCCCACAGTGACTGTACGTACATACCCCAACCAGAAGCCATGGATTACAGGCAACATCCGCACTGAGCTAAAGGGTAGAGCTGCCGCTTTCAAGGAGCGGGACTCTAACCCGGAACCTTATAAGAAATCCCGCTATGCCCTCCGACGAACCATCAAACAGGCAAAGAGTCAATACAGGACTAAGATCGTACTACACCGGCACCGACGCTCGTCGGATGTGGCAGGCTTGCAAACTATTACAGACTACAAAGGGAAGCACAGTCGCGAGCTGCCCAGTGACACGAGCTTACCAGACAAGCTAAATTACTTCTATGCTCGCGTCAAGGCAATTAACACGGAAACATGCATGAGAGCATCAGCTGTTCCGGACAACTGTGTGATCACGCTCTCCGTAGCCGATGTGTGTAAGACCTTTAAAACAGGTCAACATTCACAAGGCCGCAAGGCCAGACGGATTACCAGGACGTGTACTCTGAGCATGCGCTGACCAACTGGCAAGTGTCTTCACTGACATTTTCAACCTCTCCCTGTCTGAGTCTGTAATACCAACATGTTTCAAGCAGACCACCATAGTCCCAGTGCCCAAGAACACTAAGGTAACCTGCCTAAATTACTACTGACCCGTAGCACTCACGTCTGTAGCCATGAAGTGCTTTGAAAGGCTGGTCATGGCTCACATCAACATCATTATCCCAGAAACCCTAGTCCCACTCCAATTTGCATACCGCCCCAACAGATCCACAGATGATGCAATCTCTAATGCGCTCCACACTACCCTTTCACACTTGGACAAAAAGGAACAGCTATGTGAGAATGCTATTCATGGTCTACAGCTCAGCGTTCAACACCATAGTGCCCTCAAAGCTCATCACTAAGCTAAGGACCCTGGGACTAAACACCTCCCTCTGCAACTGGATCATGGACTTCCTGATGGGCCGCCCCCAGGTGGTAAGGGTAGGTAACAACACATCCGCCACGCTGATCCTCAAACCGGGTGCCCCTCAGGGGTGCGTGCTCAGTCCCCTCCTCTACTCCCTGTTCACTCATGACTGCATGGCCAGGCACGACTCCAACACCATCATTAAGTTTGCCGATGACACAACAGTGGTAGGCCTGATCACCGACAAGACAGCCTATAGGGAGGAGGTCAGAGACCTGGCCGTGTGGTGCCAGGACAACAACCTCTCCCTCAACGTGATCAAGACAAAGTAGATGATTGTGGACTACAAGAAAAAGAAGAGGACCGAGCACGCCCCCATTCTCATCGATGGGGCAGTAGTGGAGCAGGTTGAGAGCTTCAAGTTCCTTGGTGTCCACATCACCAACAAACTAACATGGTCCAAGCACACCAAGACAGTCTCCCCCTAAAGAGACTGAAAAGATTTGGCATGGGTCTTCAGATCCTCAAAAGGTTCTACAGCTTCGAGAGCATCCGGACTGGTTGCATCACTGCTTGGTATGGCAACTGCTCGGCCGCAAGGCACTACAGAGGGTAGTGCGTATGGCCCAGTACATCACTGGGGCCAAGCTTCCTGCCATCCAGGACCTCTATACCAGGCGTGTCAGAGAGAGGCCCTAAAAATTGTCAAAGTCTCCAGCCACCCAGGGCCTCCCGAGTGGCACAGTGGTCTAAGGCACTGTGTTGCAGTGCTAGCTGTGCCACTAGAGATCTTGGTTCGGGTCAAGGCTCTGTCGCAGCCGGCCGCGACCGGGTGACCCATGGGGCGGCGCACAATTGGCCCAGCGCCATCCAGGGTAGGGGAGGGTTTGGCCGGCAGGGATGTTCTTGTCCCATCGCGCACTAGCGACTCCTGTGGCGGGCCGGGCGCAGTGCATGCTGACTCGGTCGCCAGGTGTACGGTGTTTCCTCCGACACATTAGTGCGGCTGGCTTCCGGGTTAAGCGGGCACTGTGTCAAGAAGCAGTGTGGCTTGGTTGGGTTGTGTTTCGGAGGACGCATGACTCTCGACCTTCGCCTCTCCCGTGTCCGTACGGGAGTAGCAACGATTGGACAATTGGATACCACGAAATTGGGAAGAAAAAGGGGTTAAAATACCAACAACAACAAAAAAAGACTCCAGCCACCCAAGTCAGACGGTTCTCTCTGCTACCGCACGGCAAGCAGTACCGGAGCGCAAAGTCTAGGTCCAAGAGGCTTCTAAACAGCTTCTACCCACAAGCCATAAGACTCCTGAACATCTAATCAAATGGCTACCCAGACTATTTGCATTGCCCCATCCCCCCGCTACTCTGTTTATTATCTATGCATAGTCACTTTAATAAATAACTCTACCTACATGTACAGTAAGGGAAAAAAGTATTTGATCCCCTGCTGATTTTGTACGTTTGCTCACTGACAAAGACATGATCAGTCTATAATTTTAATGGTAGGTTTATTTGAACAGCGAGAGACAGAATAACAAAATCCAGAAAAACACATGTCAAAAATGTTATTAATTGATTTGCATTTTAATGAGGGAAATAAGTATTTGACCCCTCTGCAAAACATGACTTAGTACTTGGTGGCAAAACCCTTGTTGGCAATCACAGAGGGCAGACGTTTCTTGTAGTTGGCCACCAGGTTTGCACACATCTCAGGAGGGATTTTGTTCCACTCCTCTTTGCAGATCTTCTCCAAGTCATTAAGGTTTCGAGGCTGACGTTTGGCAACTCGAACCTTCAGCTCCCTCCACAGATTTTCTATGGGATTAAGGTCTGGAGACTGGTTAAGCCACTCCAGGACCTTAATGTGCTTCTTCTTGAGCCACTCCTTTGTTGCCTTGGCCGTGTGTTTTGGGTCATTGTCATGCTGGAATACCCATCCATGACCCATTTTCAATGCTCTGGCTGAGGGAAGGAGGTTCTCACCCAAGATTTGACGGTACATGGCCCCGTCCATCGTCCCTTTGATGCGGTGAAGTTGTCCTGTCCCCTTAGCAGAAAAACACCCCCAAAGCATAATGTTTCCACCTCCATGTTTGACGGTGGGGATGGTGTTCTTGGGGTCATAGGCAGCATTCCTCCTCCTCCAAACATGGCGAGTTGAGTTGATGCCAAAGAGCTCGATTTTGGTCTCATCTGGCCACAACACGTTCACCCAGTTCTCTTCTGAATCATTCAGATGTTCATTGGCAAACTTCAGACGGGCCTGTATATGTGCTTTCTTGAGCAGGGGGACCTTGCGGGCGCAGCAGGATTTCAGTCCTTCACGGCGTAGTGTGTTACTAATTGTTTTCTTGGTGACTATGGTCCCAGCTGCCTTGAGATCATTGACAAGATCCTCCCGTGTAGCTCTGGGCTGATTCCTCACCGTTCTCATGATCATTGCAACTCCACTAGGTGAGATCTTGCATGGAGCCCCAGGCCGAGGGAGATTGACAGTTATTTTGTGTTTCTTCCATTTGCGAATAATCGCACCAACTGTTGTCACCTTCTCACCAAGCTGCTTGGCAATGGTCTTGTAGCCCATTCCAGCCTTGTGTAGGTCTACATCTTGTCCCTGACATTCTTGGAGAGCTCTTTGGTCTTGGCCATGGTGGAGAGTTTGGAATCTGATTGATTGATTGCGTCTGTAGACAGGTGTCTTTTATACAGGTAACAAACTGAGATTAGGAGCACTCCCTTTAAGAGTGTGCTCCTAATCTCAGCTCGTTACCTGTATAAAAGACACCTGGGAGCCAGAAATCTTTCTGATTGAGAGGGGTCAAATACTTATTTCCCTCATAAAATGCAAATCAATTTATACAATTTTTGACATGCGTTTTTCTGGATTTTAAAATTATAGACTGATCATGTCTTTGTCAGTGGGCAAACGTACAAAAATCAGCAGCGGATCAAATACTTTTTTCCCCTCACTGTACATATTACCTGGACTAACCGGTGCCCCCGCACATTGTCTCGGTACCGGTACCCCCTGTATATAGCCTCGCTATTGTAATTTTTACTGCTGCTCTTTAATTATTTGTTAGTTTTATTTCGTATTATTTTATATTGTATTTTTTGTGTGATTTTTTTTGGTATTCTTTCTTAAAACTGCATTGTTGGTTAAGGGCTTGTAAGTAAGCATTTCACTGTAAGGTCTACACCTGTTATATTCGGCGCATGTGACAAATAAAATGTAATTTGATTTCGATTTGTAACTCTTCATACCCCCTCCTCTCACCTGTAAAAAGAGCTTGTTGTCCTTGGTGACGGCGTCCATCAGTTCTTTCTGCAGCGGAGGTTCAGAGCCCAGTCTCATGCCGTTGGCCGTCACTCCCCCGGTACTGTTCTGCCCCGCGGTAAAGTCCTGCTTCCGGTAGATCAGCACGTAGGCTGTGTCCTTGGGGAAACGGTTGGTGATGTTCTGAACCGACCCCAACGAAGTGAATGTCACCCTGCTGTCGTTAAACAGCAGCCAATCCCGGGCCGCCTGGCCTCCGCACACCTCCTCCACTTCCGGTTTGGGAGGAGTCGCCCCCAGTGTGGCAGAGCAAGTGGGTGCAATGGGCTCAGTCTGCCCGTTCCCAGGCTCCTCCCCCAGGGTAAGGTGATTGGCTAGGTGGTGTTGGGCGCCGTCGGCCCCGTTGAGGTTGCGGCCGTAGGAGTAGTAATGGCCGCTCTCCGACGACAACCCAGAATGCATCACTACGGAGCTGAGGACGTAGGGAACTAACTGGGCCGCCGGCCACACCCCTACCTCAGTTTCTCCTCCGTTCATCCCGTTCTCGCCCTCTATCCCACCCTCCTCCTCTTCCTCTCTCCGTGACGGCTTCAGTTTCTTGGCTAGGTTTTCGCTGCTCTCGGGTGAGTCCACTTGGAGTGGAGAGGATGGTGGTGAGGAAGAGGACGAAGAGTGTTTGGGTGGAGGGGCGTGCACGGGCAGTCTCATGAGCGGCGGTATGGTGACGTTGTCCAGGATCTTGCGGCGCACGTGGCACTTGGCGTCGTAGGAGAACCTCAGCAGCGTGAGGATGAGGTACTCGGGCGCCGCCACCACCCTCATCCCCCGCTCCGCCCGCTGCAGCGAGCCGCACTTCTGGCAGAAGTAGGCGTTCTCCTTATCAAGGATCTCTGGTGCCAGGAAGTAGTCCACCAGGTCAGGAACAGACAGCGGTGGCTCGCTGGACGCTTGGGCAAAATGGACGCCGGTGGTGGAGGCCGCGGCGGGTTTGGGAGAAGGGCCTATTTCGGGAGCCTCGCTGCCCCCGTTGACAGCCCCCTGGCAGGGGCCCCGGGGTTCCTCTGATGGGCCCCCGGTCTGAAGAGGGCTGGTGGTGGTGGAGGGACAGAATGCCAGGGACAGGTCAGTGAAAGGTTCTTCTTTCTCCGAGACGCCGTTACATGCCATGCAGCGGATACCCGTGCTCAGCCTGCCTCTGAACATCCTCTCAATCAGCGTCCTCTCGTCATTCTCCTCGGACTTCGCCTCCACAGGGGCCACGGGTGACACTCCGGCGTCCTCCGCGGAGGTTTGACCCCCGGTGTCGTCGCTCGGTCTGTTGCTAGGGGAGATGACATTTGGTTTGGCTGACATGAGGACCTGGATGGTTTTCTCCTCTTCGTGTAACCTTGGCAACAGAACGCGAGGAGAAAATAAAACATTTTACAAAAAATACAATATGCAAATGAATGCAACAGCATAATAAATGGAGATGTCCTTTTCAATAACACCCATTCAGTGAACATCAATTCTATTACTTCTTAAGATCCTTCTCTCAAAATACTCTCCAGACAAACACACGCTAGATTCATACATTCTTGCCATCTATACCGAGAGTCTTACAGGTTTTAGGAGTTGTAGGGTGCTCCAGCAGTCTACTAGATGGCGTACATACCTGTCCAGGAGGAAGGAGTTGTAGGGTGCTCCAGCAGTCTACTAGATGGCGTACATACCTGTCCAGGAGGAAGGAGTTGTAGGGTGCTCCAGCTGTCTACTAGATGGTGTACATACCTGTCCAGGAGGAAGGAGTTGTAGGGTGCTCCAGCAGTCTACTAGATGGCGTACCTACCTGTCCAGGAGGAAGGAGTTGTAGGGTGCTCCAGCTGTCTACTAGATGGTGTACCTACCTGTCCAGGAGGAAGGAGTTGTAGGGTGCTCCAGTAGTCTACTAGATGGTGTACCTACCTGTCCAGGAGGAAGGAGTTGTAGGGTGCTCCAGTAGTCTACTAGATGGTGTACCTACCTGTCCAGGAGGAAGGAGTTGTAGGGTGCTCCAGTAGTCTACTAGATGGTGTACCTACCTGTCCAGGAGGAAGGAGTTGTAGGGTGCTCCAGTAGTCTACTAGATGGTGTACCTACCTGTCCAGGAGGAAGGAGTTGTAGGGTGCTCCAGCAGTCTACTAGATGGTGTACCTACCTGTCCAGGAGGAAGGAGTTGTAGGGTGCTCCAGCTGTCTACTAGATGGTGTACCTACCTGTCCAGGAGGAAGGAGTTGTAGGGTGCTCCAGTAGTCTACTGATGGTGTACCTACCTGTCCAGGAGGAAGGAGTTGTAGGGTGCTCCAGTAGTCTACTAGATGGGTACCTACCTGTCCAGGAGGAAGGAGTTGTAGGGTGCTCCAGTAGTCTACTAGGTGGCGTACCTACCTGTCCAGGAGGAAGGAGTTGTAGGGTGCTCCAGTAGTCTACTAGGTGGTGTACCTACCTGTCCAGGAGGAAGGAGTTGTAGGGTGCTCCAGTAGTCTACTAGGTGGCGTACCTACCTGTCCAGGAGGAAGGAGTTGTAGGGTGCTGCAGTAGTCTACTAGATGGCGTACCTACCTGTCCAGGAGGAAGGAGTTGTAGGGTGCTCCAGTAGTCTACTAGATGGCGTACCTACCTGTCCAAGAGGAAGGAGTTGTAGGGTGCTCCAGTAGTCTACTAGATGGTGTACCTACCTGTCCAGGAGGAAGGAGTTGTAGGGTGCTGCAGTAGTCAACTAGGTGGCGTACCTACCTGTCCAGGAGGAAGCGGAGGTACTCAGAACAGTCCTGCTGGGAACCTGCATTGAACCAGGGGGGCCGAGACGCCTCAAAGAAGAGTCTGGGGGCGTACGCTGCCCTCTGCAGGAGACACACACACACACACACACTGAATGACCACTCACCGAAGACACACACCAAGTGAAAGATCAGTGTTAGATCAATAGTCATTTCCATTGAAAACACGATGGCCACCAACAGCCAAGGGAGACAAACCTGGGTGTGTGAGAGGAAGGCGAAGAGGAGCTGCAGTTTCTTCATCAGTGTGTTGGCAGTGGCATCATTCAGATGTAACGATAAGACATGCCTCCTGAAACTGGAAGAGAAAGGTAGAATGGTTCATGCATAGCAGAACATAAGACCTTCCTACAGAAATATTTCAGCATTATATCATTCTATTGAGAGCGGATTCAAGCAAGAATGTCTATAGACAGCTTTGTTAACAATGTGGTCAATTCAATATTAATGCAACGTGTAGTTGTGTGTGTGTGTGTGTGTGTGTGTGTGTGTGTGCACTAAATCCACTACTCACTCTGTAGCTGAGAAGAGAGTCTGTATGATGCTGTTCATGTAGCAGGTGTTTCCCAGGTTGATGAGGCCAGTCTTGCCCGTCTCAGACTTGCCAGCCAGCCTCAGCAGCCCTGAGGCAAATGAGTTGGACTGGGACGTCCAGGCACTTTGGTTCAGAACCAGCTTGATCTTCTCCTCACTGGGCCCGGGTAGCTCCTAGGGGGCGGGGGGGGAGACTACAGCTTTCAGACACGCCATACATCTGTTTACCATACATGATCTGCATAGTATTGTACACTCAGAATTTAAAAAAAGGTCTATACTACAATAACGACAGTAAATTAAAGATATTTCCAATCATTCACGACGTCACAAACATTACAGTTGGTCACATAAATGATGTAAACCTACTTTTCCCCCATGTCAGGTGGACCATAATATAAGGACAATAAATGTTTCTGATACATAAAAAAAAAAGGACAACACTGGTTGTTAAGGTGTCTTACTTTGATGGCCTCCAGGATGTTGTCGTAGAGGTCAGGGAAGCCAGAGTACTGGTACATCATACAGTGGATGAGCTCTGTGAAGTGGAGCAGGAAAACCTTACTGGTGGGCACGCCGTCCCTCTTCAGACTCTGAACCAGCTCCACCACATGTGGCACCACCTGGGGAACACACAGTCAATGTATTGAAGACTCCATTCACATTTTAGTCATTTAGCAGACTTGTAGTTAGTGCATTCATCCTAAGATGGCTAGGTGAGACAACCAACATATCACAGTCGTAGTCAATCTATCCTCAATCAAGAAGTTATCAGCAAGGTCAGTGCTGGTAGACGATGTTCTTGGTCATATGCGCATCACATCTGTCGTAATCTGTTACAAGGTGGAAAGGTGCAGTGGAGGAAACTAGGCACTGCATATAGCAGAGGAACACCACTAAACACACTGATGTAGTGACAGGTAAAAACAACCTTCACATGCTACATTAAACTTCCCTTTTTGTCATGGGGGGGGGGGGGGGGTCACATTGACTTAAATGTACTCAACCTTTTAAAATGAATTGACAATCATGGCTGATGAAAACACCACCAACCATCTAAAGGACCATCATGGTGCTTTAAACACTTTACACATCATTAGTGGAAGAGCCCTGCTGAGAGCAGAGTGCTTATGGGAAATGGGGCCTGAACGTGTTTCAGTTAAATAGAGGGAATGAGGGAGGAGATGACATGCGTTGTGCAATAGAATGAGTTGTATTGTGTGTGTGTGTGTGTGTGTGTGTGTGTGTGTGTGTGTGTGTGTGTGTGTGTGTGTGTTTCTTACCAAGTGGAAGGCCTCAGGTGAGTGTTGAAAACTCAGCAGCATGTGGGAGAGAACCACTAGGGCCCCCTGCCGCACGATGGGGTACCACAGACGGTTTAACACCTACACACACACACAAAGAAACATGGTCAAAAATAAACATACAGCATATGCATTGCACATACACGTACACTGACACAGAAACACACACTTCAGAAGATTAGTGATATACAGTGCCTACGGAAAGTATTCAGACCCCTTGACTTTTTCCACATTGTTACAGCCTTATTCTAAAAAGGATTAAATAAAAACAAATCCTCACCAGTCCACACACTATACCCCATAATGACAAAGCGAAAACAGGTTTTTAAAATGTTTTGCAAATGTATAAAAATTAAAATACCTTATTTACATAAGTATTCAGACCCTTTGCTATGAGACTTGAAATTGCGCTCGGGTGCATCCTGTTTCCATTGATCATCCTTGAGATGTTTCTACAACTTGGAGTCCACCAGTTGTAAATTCAATTGATTGGACATGATTTGGAAAGGCACACAACCGTCTATATAAGGTCCCACAGTTGACAGTGCATGTCAGAGCAAAAACCAAGCCATGAGGTCAAAGGAATTGTTCGTAGAGCTCCGAGACAGGATTGTGTCGAAGCACAGATCTGGGGAAGGGTACCAAAAAATTTCTGCAGCATTGAAGGTCCCCAAGAACACAGTGGCCTCCATCATTCTTAAATGGAAGAAGTTTGGAACCACTAAGACTCTTCCTAGAGCTGGCCACCCGGCCAAACTGAGCAATTGGGGGAGAAGGGCCTTGGTCAGGGAGGTAACGAAGAACCCAATGGTCACTCTGACAGAGCTCCAGAGTTCCTCTGTGGAGATGGGAGAATCTTCCAGAAGGACAACAATCTCTGCAGCACTCCACCAATCAGGCCTTTATGGTAGAGTGGCCAGACGGAAGCCACTCCTCAGTAAAAGGCACATGACAGCTCGCTTGGAGTTTGACAAAAGGCACCTAAAGGACTCTCAGACCATGACAAACAAGATTGTCTGGTCTGATGAAACCAAGATTGAACTCTTTGGCCTGAATGCCAAGCGTCACGTCGAGGAAACCTGGCACCATCCCTACGGTGAATCATGGCGGTGGCAGCATCATGCTGTGGGGATGTTTGTCAGCGGCAGGGACTGGGAGACTAGTCAGGAGAGGGAAAGATGAACAGAGGTGGCCCAGCCAGAGCCCGGACTTGAACCCGATCTAACAACTCTGGAGAGACCTGTGCAGCAACGCTCCCCATCCAACTTGACAGAGCTTGAGAGGATCTGCAGAGAAGAATGGGAGAAACTCCTCAAATACAGGTGTGCCAAGCTTGTTGCGTCATACTCAAGAAGACTCGATGCAATAATTGCTGCCAAAGGTGTGTCAACAAAGTACTGAGTAAAGGGTCTGAATACCTAAGTAAATGTGATATTTCAGTTTTAGATTTTTTATAAATTAGCAAACATTTCTGAAAACCTGTTTTTGCTTTGCCATTAAGGGGTATTGTGTGTATTGATGAGGATTTTTAAAAAAAAATCAATTTTAGAATAAGGGTGAAACGTAACAAAATGTGGAAAAAGTCAAGGGGTCTGAATACTTTCCGAAGGCACTGTAGCTCAACACCATAACGACCAAACTACAGGAACAGATTTTCGTCCATGTGATCATCTATTCATCAGTTCTAACTGATAACTGATGTTACTCTGTAGTTATAGATGCTATTACCACAGAGTTTGTAAACCTAGAGGCACAACATTGCGAGACTTCCGGGAATTCTTGCGAAACACACCAGGCCGGGGTTTGAGAAGTCAATGAGAAGTGAAAATTCTTCCTTAGTTGTGAATTGTCTCAAAATCTAAAGGCACAACCTTGAGTCGAGCCAATGAGCTTGGGTGCATCCTACACACACACACACAAAGAAACATGGTCAAAAATAAACATACAGCATATGCACTGCACGTACACTGACACAGAAACACACAATTCAGAAGATAAGTGATATTGTGGCGCAGTGGTCTAAGGCACTGCATCGCAGTGCTAGCTGTGCCACTAGTGACCGGGAGACCCATGGGGCGGCGCACAATTGGCCCAGCGTCGTCCAGGGTAGGGGAGGGAATGGCCGGCAGGGATGTAGCGCAGTTGGTAGAGCATGGCGTATGCAATGCCAGGGTTGTGGGTTTGATTCCCACGGGGGGCCAGTATGATAAAAATAATGTATGCACTCACTAAGTCGCTCTGGATAAGAGCGTCTGCTAAATGACAAAAAAATAAAAAAAGTAGTTAAGTAGTTGAACCTGTTATTACTCCAACCTTGTGAAAGTGATAAACTGACAGGTTTCCATTTTTGTCAAAAACAACTTTATACTGAAGGAATGCCTTTGATTTGACGGCCTGCACATGCGCAGTTCGGCGCTAGACGACCGTTAGACCAGATGACGTGTTTCTATGCATGTGCTTAGCTTGCCAACATCGCCATGACATCGCATACACAGTGCCTTGCAAAAGTATTCATCCCCCTTGGCATTTTTACTATTTTGTTGCATTACAACCTGTAATATACATTTATTTTTATTTGGATTTCATGTAATGGACATACACAAAATAGTCCAAAGTGGAATGAAAAAAATAACTTGTTTTCAAAAATTCTAAAAAAATAAATAACGGAAAAGTGGTGCGTGCATACGTATTCACCCCCTTTGTTATGAAGCCCCTAAATAAGATCTGGTGCAACCAATTACCTTCAGAAGTCACATCATTAGTTAAATAAAGTCCACCTGTGTGCAATCTAAGTGTCACATGATCACAGTATATATACACACACCTGTTCTGAAAGGCCCCAGAGTCTGCAACACCACTAAGCAAAGGGCACCACAAAGCAAGCAGCACCATGAAGACCAAGGAGCTCTCCAAACAGGTCAGGGACAAAGTTGTGGATTAGTACAGATCAGGGTTGGGTTATAAAGAAATATCTGAAACTTTGAACATCCCACAGAGCATTGAAAGAATATGGCACCAAAACAAACCTGCCAAGAGAGGGCCGCCCACCAAAACTCATGGATCAGGCAAGGAGGGCATTAATCAGAGAGGCAACAAAGAGACCAACGATAACCCTGAAGGAGCTGCAAAGCTCCACAGCGGAGATTGGAGTATATGTCCATAGGACCACTTTAAGCCATATACTCCACAGAGATGGACTTTACGGAAGAGTGGCCAGAAAAAAGCCATTGCTTAAAGAAAAAAATAAGCAAACACGTTTGGTGTTCGCCAAAAGCCTTGTGGGAGACTCCGCAAACATATGGAAGAAGGTACTCTGGTCAGATTAGACTAAAATTGAGCTTTTTGGCCTTCAAGGAAAACGCTATGTTTGGCGCAAACCCAACACCTCTCATCACCCCTAGAACACCATGTTTTTCCATCGGTAGGGACTGGGAAACTGGTCAGAATTGAAGGAATTCTAAATACAGGGAAATTCTTGAAGGAAACCTGTTTCAGTCTTCCAGAGATTTGAGACTGGGACGGAGGTTCACCTTCCAGCAGGACAATGACCCTAAGCATACTGCTAAAGCAACACTTGAGTGGTTTAAGGGGAAACATTTAAATGTCTTGGAATGGCCTAATCAAAGCCCAGACCTCAATCCAATTGAGAATCTGTGGTATGACTTAAAGATTGCTGTACACCAGCGGAACCCATCCAACTTGAAGGAGCTGGAGCAGTTTTGCCTTGAAGAATGAGCAAAATCCCAGTGGCTAGATGTGCCAAGCTTATAGAGACATACCCCAAGAGACTTGCAGCTGTAATTGCTGCAAAAGGTGGCTCTACAAAGTATTGACTTTGGGGGGGTGAATAGTTATGCACGCTCAAGTTCTCTTGTCTTATTTCTTGTTTGTTTCACAAGAAAAAATATTTTGCATCTTCAAAGTAGTAGGCATGTTGTGTAAATCAAGTGATACAAACCCACCCCCAAAAAATCAATTTTAATTCCAGGTTGTAAGGCAACAAAATAGGAAAAATGCAAAGGGGGGTGAATACATTCGCAAGCCACTGTAAGTGTGATCGGGGATTTCTATTGGAGAAGCAGTTTCTGCCGATCTTCATACTGTACTGTCTTTGCTATTACCATGTGTTAATACCATCTGAACTCATTGGTACATGGACAGTCCCTGCTGTGGTCATAGTGGTCAGTACACTACCCACCAGTTCAATCTTGAGCAGGGTGACATCTATGAGGATGGTGAACTTCTGCACCGCGGCCAGCCCCTTCAGCAGGGCAATGACCCATGTGTCCACATGGTGGGCTAGAGGCCAGGACAACCAGTCAATCATCCTGAGGATGGAAAAAGAGAAAGGGAGGGAGAGAGGTAGATGGAGAAAGAGAGAACGGTAAATAAGGGCAGAAAAGTTATATTAAAATCACTACATCCATCTAGTGTACACACTGCAAATACAACAGACTAATTTAATCAGTTTAGCTAATGAAAAAAACAACAGTAAAAGGCACCCAGTGACCTGCAGAGTGCTTGAGTCATGCTGGTGTCTTTGACGTTCTGGTCGGTGGTAAGGCTCTTGATGAGAACTGTGATCATCTGGAGAGGTATGTGCTGGACCAGGCTGGCTAGGGCAATGGAGGGGTCAAAGGAAGGGTCTGTGCAGAACACAAAACAAACTGTAGTACACCAATAACAGTACAATTGACGGTCACAGCTTATGACATCTGGCACAATTGTATTCAAATGTATTGTTCACAACCTCTACCCTAACCAAGTGACCCAATTCAACGATGGGTTTGAAGTCTGATATTGAGCGGTGCACTCTGTACCACCTTGGATCATTAAAATGACAGAGGTTACTGTTCCAAGTCTCAATCATGTGCTAACAAGCCTGACATTCCTAGTTTTTCCATAGGTGGGTGAAGGTCAAATTATGCCTGCATTAGCAAATAGTATTCTGTACTTTACTTCTGTACAGTAAAAATGGATACGGTATTTGAAACTGCTAATTTATTTCAAAATATATTATTAGTGAATAGACGACTAGTGTGAGGCATTGATGTATAGACACATACAGTGAAATGTGATTGTGTGTGTGTGTGTGTGCGCGCATTCATCTGTGACTGTGTGTGGTGCTCCCTCCCTCCCTCCCTCCCTCCCTCCTCTCAGTCTCACCGGTGGAGGAGATTATAGCGAACACCTCCTGCAGAGAGGGCAGCAGCGTGGCCGGATCCGCCTTCCAGATGTTCTGCAGTAATGTGCTGACCTTGGTCACCTGTTCCACATACTCCCTCAGCTCCCGCTCCTGGCTGGCTGGACAGTGGAAGTACCCGATTGTCCTCACCAACTGCTGGCAGAACAGAATGGCCACCTTCTCCCGGGGGATGCACTGTACGAAGTCTGAGAGCATTGTGGCGAGACGGGCGCACAGGGCTGGCTCAGGCCGTTCGCACACCATCCTTAGGACTTCTGTCTGGATGATGGTGAAGATATCAAGCACCGAGGGGCAGCTGATCAGCAGCCGCAGGCAGCCATGGATGTAGTCCACCACGGCCGGGTCCTTGCGGTCCAGGGGGCCGTAGCCCTGCTGTAACAGGCCCAGGACAAAGTCTTTGCTGAAGAAGAGCTCAAAATCGGCGCGGTGGTAGCGGGCGTAGGCCTCCAGCACCTGGAAGCCCACCTGTTTCTGGAAGGCGTCTTCGCCCAGGAGGATGAGGCGAGTGGTGAGTGTGTACAGGGCCTGGCATTGCTCCTCCGTGACCTCTTTCTCTGCGGCTTCAACTACCTTCTTCACGATGGCCTTCTTCACTGGGACTGAGTGAGAGGAGCTGACCAGCGCTTCCAGAATCTTGTCCATGATGGCGGTCGATCTATATAGCTATGAGGGGAAAGATCGGGGAGCAGTCCACACCTAAAATAGGAGAGCGAGCAGGACATCAACCACCATTAGTGACCAGTTACTTATTCTGGCTAGCTTTCCATTTCTTCATGGCATGTCCAACATAGCTAGCTACACGTATGATTCGGTCAATAACTTGTAAATAACATAAACTGAAGTTGTTTTTACCATTGCTTACAGTTGCTGAAAAGTTGTAGAACATAGCAATATCAAAAGGCTATAAAGCTAGCCACAGGTAAACAAAAACACAGTATCCTGCCTGCTTTGGATTATCATCAAAGTTAGCTAATTTAGCTAGCTAAACAAGTTAACACATTGGAGCTAGTTAGTTACCGTAACCACAAGCGGCATGTTATCGAATTCAAATTATCTGAGATTAAAGGCATTGATGCACAAATAAAACATGTGTGGATGGCAAACTTTATTTCGCCATCTAGTTAGCTAGGGTTCTTTAACAAACTAGGTAGCTATGCTAGCATGACGTTCGCTGTGTATGGAAATTGAAACAAAGCAGGCCGGAGATGTCGCTGACTGAGCAGAAATGTATCTTCCCAAACATCACTTACCAATATAATTCATAATACCAGCATCCGATGAAAATATCATAAAATGCCAGTTGACATTAGTTGCCTGTTGACAGCTCATCCATTTCTTATTTTGATGTTATTTGGTAAAATCAGCTGATTTAAAAGACCTGCAGAACGTCATTCCGATGGACCACGAATTTTTCTCGGAGCCTTCTGCTTTTGACCATCTCATTGCCTGTTTACAAAGAACGAAAATGGCGTGTATAAAATAAAATATGAACATTCTTAAACTTTTTGTGGATTACAGGTTTGTTTAAATACAAATATAAACATACTGACAATGGTTTGTAATGACTTAAAACAAAATGTATTATTCCACCGACTTTGTCCTTTCACGCACTAACTGAGCTCATAACCATTGCAGAGGCATAGCATTTACACTGGTAGATGTAGCAGATGTGTTTTAAGTCAGTAAATGTGTGCAGTTTTGTATTCTTTGGGGAAAACACTCAGCCACGCTACCAAAGTATCGCGAGACAAAGCGGAACCTTTGTGAACGCGGGTAGCGGGGAAAGGAAGCTAGCGAATGAATCACTTGTAGCCAGCCAGTCTCTTTCACAATAAACAGTAGGACTATAGCAGCGTATTTTCTGTAAGAAAGTTTTTGAAAACCATATCTGCCATTTAAAGGCGGACAAAGTCATCGAATAAACAGACGATCGGTTTAAATCGAGGAAGAAATTCGGTTACAATGTCCGAGACTGGAAACGGCGTGGAGCTGCGGGAAGAACAAGCAGCTGAACTTGAAGAAACTGGAGGAGTGGAGGTGAGCCGGAACAAAACCATAATTATACAAATTCTGAGCCCTTCGTTCGAAAAAATGGTTTAACAAGTTTTAGATTATGCTAAAGTTAACCCTATGTCCACTGTGACTTCCAAATCGAGCCATCTCAAACTTTGTATTTGCTAGCTCGAGTTGTTTAGCTAGCTAGCATTAGATTAGCGTCGTTAGCTAACGTTAATCGACAGCTCCGACCCATCATCCCGAAGAGCGTGTCTCGCAGTACTATATAATAGAGCTAGCGGCTACCCTGTTTCATAAACACTCAGCTAACTATACTAGTTAGTAATATTAAGCTAGCTAACGTTACAGCTGACACACTTTATTGTAATACGCATCAAGGGTTTCTATACAATTGTAACAGTTGTTTACATCTGTTTGACGCTGCATTCGATCCTCTTTATAGTGCCGCGCTTACGCCGCTTATCTCACATCAAGACAACTGGGAACTCGGGGGGGAAAAACTAAGTCAAATCGTAACGTCAGTGATCTTCAGGTTGGAAAGTCGGAGCTCTAGAACAGTGTTTCCCGAACCTGGTCCTCGAGTAACCCCAACAGTACACATAAATTCTGAGTTGGGTGACCTTTCAAAATATTCTTCCCAGTCGGAGCTCGTTTTTCTTTTCGAGTTCCCTCTTGTCTTTTATTTTATTTTTATTTAACCTTTATTTAACATTTAATTTACATTTTAGTCATTTAACAGACGCTCTTATCCAGAGCGACTTACAGTTAGTGCATACATTATTTTTTTATCGAACCCACAACCCTGGCGTTGCAAACGCCATGCTCTACCAACTGAGCTACATCCCCTGCACAGGTAAGCCAGTTGAGAACAAGTTCTCATTTACAACTGCGACCTGGCCAAGATAAAGCAAAGCAGTGCGATAAAAACAACAACACAGAGTTACATATGGGGTAAAAAAAAACAGTCAAAAAAAACAACAGAAAATATATATACAGTGTGTGCAAATGTAGCAAGTTATGGAGGTAAGGCAATAAATAGGCTATAGTGCAAAATAATTACAATTAGTATTAACACTGGAATGCTAGATGTGCAAGAGATTATGTGCAAATAGAGATACTGGGGTGCAAAAGAGCAAAATAAATAACAATATAGGGATGAGGTAGTTGGGTGGGCTAATTTCAGATGGGGTGTGTACAGGTGCAGTGATCGGTAAAATGCTCTGACAACTGATGCTTAAAGTTAGTGAGGGAGATAAGCGTCTTCAGCTTCAGAGATTTTTGCAATTCGTTCCAGTCATTGGCAGCAGAGAACTGGAAGGAATGGCGGCCAAAGGAGGTGTTGGCTTTGGGGATGACCAGTGAGATATACCTGCTGGAGCGCAGACTACGGGTGGGTGCTGCTATGGTGACCAATGAGCTAAGATAAGGCGGGGATTTGCCTAGCAGTGATTTATAGATGGCCTGGAGCCAGTGGGTTTGACCACGAACATGTAGTGAGGACCAGCCAACAAGAGCGTACAGGTCACAGTGGTGGGTAGTGTATGGGGCTTTGGAGACAAAACGGATGGCACTGTGATAGACTACATCCAATTTGCTGAGTAGAGTGTTGGAGGCTATTTTGTAAATGACATCGCCAAAGTCAAGGATCGGTAGTATAGTCCGTTTTACGAGGGCATGTTTGGCAGCATGAGTGAAGGAGGCTTTGTTGCGAAATAGGAAGCCGATTCTAGATTGAACATGTCTGATGTCAGAAGTCGAAGATTTCTGAGTTCCCAGTTGTTTTGAAAGTGGCATTACATTCCTCGTTTCCAGGAAAAGGATGATGCATCAGAGGCCAGCAAGGAGGAGTCTTCTGAAGCCGGACAGGATGCCCAAGATGAGGACCCCTCTTCATCCATAGCGCCAGCCTATGAGGAGAAAGTGGTAAGGGCACACTGCTACCATCATGCTGGTTTAATAAAGATGTTCATTTACAGTTTTAAGATGTCATTATCGTGTTTGAAACGTCATTTGTTGCTCTCAAAGTTTCACTGCTTTTCTGTGTGTAGGCATCAGACCGGACCAACAGATTTGAGTACCTACTGAAGCAGACAGAGGTGTTTGCCCATTTCATCCAACCCGCGGCCCAGAAGACTCCCACCTCCCCGCTGAAGATGAAGCCTGGACGCCCTCGTGTCAAGAAGGACGAGAAACAGAATCTCCTCTCGGTCGGAGAGTGAGTATACAACACAACACGCTAAACAACTTGGCCCAATGATTTGTCAATCTTCCGTGGGAGTACATTGGGTGTACATGTGGGGCGTTTTATATGCTGTTACTGATGAATTATATGTACTCCTTTCTCTCTTTGACAGTAACCGTCATCGTCGCACAGAGCAGGAAGAGGATGAAGAGCTGCTGAGCGAAAGCAGCAAGACCACCAACATCTGCACCCGCTTTGACGAATCCCCCTCCTGTAAGCAGTCACATGGTTTTACTTATTAAAGCTGCAATATGTAACTTTAATGTAGCAAAGTCCTGAACGGGACTACTATAGTCCATAATTGAATGGAAAGTATGTCAAACTTGTGCAATACTGAGTTTGTTGTGCTGTATGAATCTCCCAACAGTTGTAAAGGGGGGTACAATGAGAGACTACCAGGTCCGTGGTCTGAACTGGCTCATCTCTCTGTACGAGAACGGAATCAACGGGATCCTTGCTGATGAAATGGTAGGTTCTCATTTCAAAATAAAGTGAAAGATATTGCCTTTTTGGTATTGAGGTAGTTCTACATGCATACCTCTTGATCACTAACTGTTTATTAGTGTATTTGTGTGTCTGTGTCTGTGATACTCATGAAGATTACTCCTGGACTACAGCAGTAACAGCACCCAACGACTTATTCACGCTACAGTCGGTGTTCAAAGTTGAGCATGTCTTATTGTGCATTTTGATACTCACACCTGCCTTGTTGTCATTCAGGGTTTGGGTAAGACCCTGCAGACCATCTCTCTGCTGGGGTACATGAAGCACTACAGGAGCATCCCCGGACCCCACATGGTGCTGGTGCCCAAGTCCACCCTGTACAACTGGATGAACGAGTTCAAACGCTGGGTGCCCTCCCTCAAAGCAGTCTGCCTCATCGGAGGCCGAGAGGAGAGGGTGAGCTATGAGCAGCAGCAGACCACATTCATTCTCTGATGTAAAATGAACAGGGCATGTTGATTGCTGTAGATCAACTGCAAAGCATGGGGTGGTGACTGTGGGACAGTGTTGAGGCTTATGTATTTTGCAATGTACCATATTGGAAGAGATGTTGTCGTGGAAATAGTCAGTTAATCTCCATCTGCAACTGAAAACGTAACACTTAGATTTCCTGCAACATAAGACTACTAATGGAGCTTTTGCATAATGCAAGCCAATGCATTTGTTTTAAGTCAGTCATTTTCAATAACTTGTACTACAGCAGTTGCATCGCGTTAGACTGGTGATGTTGCTGGGGCTTTGGTCTTGTGCCCCACCATAACCCTGTATCTTCCCCCTCTTTCTCCCAGAATGCCCTGATCAGAGATGTGCTGCTGCCAGGGGAGTGGGATGTGTGTGTCACCTCTTACGAGATGCTCATCATAGAGAAGGCCGTGTTCAAGAAGTTCAACTGGAGGTACCTGGTCATCGACGAGGCCCACAGGATCAAGAACGAGAAGTCAAAGGTTAGGGAGCTTCTAAAGTTGAAACACACACACAAACTGTATACATATTTGATTAAATGTAAATATGATTAAAATGTGTATATACACTAACAAAACGTCAATGGATTCAACTCGCAAAGGACTCTTAGATGGTTTGTCTTACCTGTGTATATTATTTGTGCTGTAGCTGTCTGAGATAGTGCGTGAGTTCAAGACCACCAACCGCCTGCTGCTGACCGGCACCCCGCTGCAGAACAACCTCCATGAGCTCTGGGCCCTGCTCAACTTCCTGCTGCCAGACGTCTTCAACTCCTCAGAGGTAAGAGGCAGATAAAATAGGTTTAACTTTAATGTACTGTACCTGAGGGGGGGGAAATTATTGGACACACAGACACTTACCCTCAATTACCACTACAATTTAGGAATAACGCTTAATAACACTTACTGAAAATAACAGTATTCTCTATTTTTCACTAATTTAATGGGCCCAAAAAATATGGATTGATTGAACTTTTTATTTTTCTTTCGAAGGACTTTGACTCATGGTTTGACACCAACAACTGCCTGGGGGATCAGAAGCTGGTGGAACGTCTTCACACTGTAAGTATCTGAAACACTTCCTTACATTTAACTGTACTGTATAGATGAATAGTGAGTAAATAGTATTTCTGTTGTCTCTTGTTGCCTTGACAATGTATTACTTACTAATTTGAATGTAATAATATCTTATGTTTCTCTTGTCTATAACTGTTTTATGTGGACCCAGGAAGAGTAGCTGCTGCATGTTTAACAGCTCATGGGGATCCTAATAAACGGAACATATATCCCTTTAGGGTTTTATCAAATATTGTTATGGGCCTTCCCTTACCTTTCCTTGGTTTCTCTCTCTCTGTGTGTTTGTGTGTGTGTAGGTACTGCGTCCTTTCCTGCTGCGTCGTATCAAAAATGAGGTGGAGAAGTCTCTGCTGCCTAAGAAAGAGATCAAGATGTACGTGGGGCTGAGTAAGATGCAGAGAGAATGGTGAGTAACCCACACACAGTCAACATATGCCCTTTCCTTGCCAACCACATTCCTCAGCCAACCTATACACTATAATGTGTATTGAAAACACTGTCCCGTCTCTCCTCAGGTACACCAAGATCCTGATGAAGGACATAGACATCTTGAACTCTGCGGGGAAGATGGACAAGATGCGTCTGCTCAACGTCTTGATGCAGCTGAGGAAGTGCTGCAACCACCCGTACCTGTTTGACGGGGCCGAGCCCGGCCCGCCCTACACCACCGACCTGCATCTGGCCGTCAACAGCGGCAAGATGGCCGTCCTTGACAAGCTGCTGCCCAAGATGAAGGCTCAGGGTGGGTGGACGAACGGGTCCCCTCTAAGACCAGTCACAAAATGTGTTTTTTTTTATGGCCTGTTTGATGGCTTTGTGTCCCTTTTTTAACTTTAAAGTTGATATGGAGACAGTGTAGTGTAAAGGCTATTTCAGACACATTTTTGATTCAAACTACTATGTTAAAGTTGCAGCAATGTAGGCATGGTGAATGATTGATTGGCGGCCATTTTGAACTCCCCTCCCTTTCCCAGGCTCCCGTGTGCTGATCTTCAGCCAGATGACCAGGATGCTGGACATCTTGGAGGACTACTGCATGTGGCGCAACTTCGGCTACTGTCGCCTGGACGGACAGACGCCCCACGAGGAGAGACAGGTATGACTATGACCCCCACTCCTGGATCTCATTAACGGCAGTGGCCTATTACCCTGGTCCCAGATCTGTTTGTGCTGCCTTGGTGTGACATTGACCATAGGAGTTGGCAGGGCAGCACAAACAGATCTGGGACCAGGCTAATAAATGGCTTGTAAATACAAACAATTGAACTCTCTCTACCGTTTTAACACACTTCATTTAACACTACATTTCCCACGTTCCTCTAGATTTCCATCAACGCGTACAATGAGGAGGACAGCCCTAAGTTCATCTTCATGTTGAGCACCAGGGCCGGAGGGCTGGGTATTAACCTGGCCACGGCTGACGTGGTCATCCTCTACGACTCAGACTGGAACCCTCAGGTCGACCTGCAGGCCATGGTCAGTACCTCTCATTGACCCATATCAGTGGACTAATTAATCAGTCTTTTATATTACATTTGTCAATTACTTTAATTAGAATTTTCCCTATAGATTTAACATGGTCAATTCCCCCTAGTTTGAATCATATCACAACAAGTGAGCTTACACATTCAATAGAACCTGTCACCAGGAACTTCATTTATCAAGATGCTTCTGCCTGGTAACTGTTAGACACTTACCTGATTGGTTCTTTTAACCTTTCTTCTCAGGACCGAGCTCACAGGATTGGTCAGAAGAAGCAGGTGCGCGTGTTCCGTTTCATCACGGAAAACACGGTGGAGGAGAGGATCGTGGAGCGGGCCGAGATGAAGCTCCAACTGGACTCTATCGTCATCCAGCAAGGTACTGCGCCGGTGGCCATTTTGAATCTCCTTTTCCCAGTTTCAAACCAACACTATTGAAGTCAATGCCTTGGTAATGCAACTGGCTGACATGTCTGTGTCTACTGTGTCTGTTCTGCAGGAAGGCTAGTGGATCCCAACGCCAACAAGCTGGGGAAGGACGAGATGCTGTCCATCATCCGGCACGGCGCCACGCACGTCTTCGCCTCCAAGGAGAGCGACATAACCGACGATGACATCGATGAGATCCTGGAGCGAGGCGAGAAGAAGGTCAGAACAAAGACGGACAAGGGCGTAGCGCTAGCATTGGGCCTAGCATTAGCATTTATCTGTACTCCGATCATTTATATAATATGTGATAGCATTAGCATTGCTAAATGTGTCAGTGGGTTGATATGGCAGTGTCTAGAGGCCAAACACATTAGCAATGTGTAGCTAGATGCTAACTCTTTGCTCTGCGTTTGTGTCTGACAGACCATGGAGTTGAAGGAGAAGATGAACACCATGGGCGAGAGCTCCCTGAGGAACTTTACCATGGAGTCCGACAACAGTGTGTACACCTTCGAAGGAGAGGACTACAGGGAGAAGAAGAAGGTGGTCACCAACTGGATCGAGCCGCCCAAGAGAGAGCGGAAGGCCAACTACGCCGTGGATGCCTACTTCAGAGAGGCTCTGCGTGTCAGTGAGCCCAAAGCACCCAAGGTAATCCTCACTACCGCCGCCCTCTGGCTATGGATATGCCACTGGGATAGCTGTGTGGAATGAATCAGACCATCTTTCTCCATGACTAAAACTCCTGTTCTCCTCTTCCAGACCATCTTTCTCCATGACTAAAACTCCTGTTCTCCTCTTCCAGACCCTCTTTCTCCATGACTAAAACTCCTGTTCTCCTCTTCCAGACCATCTTTCTCCATGACTAAACTGCCGTTCTCCTCTTTCAGGCTCCTCGTCCACCTAAGCAGCCCAATGTGCAGGACTTCCAGTTCTTCCCCCCAAGGCTGTTTGAACTGCTGGAGAAAGAGATCCTATTCTACAGGAAGACTATCGGCTACAAGGTATACCAGCATGTAGTTTTACTAGTGTAACTGGTGGTACATCAGTGATTGTTGGTGGCACTTAAAATCAAAGGACAGGCTCATAGTAATGGCTGGAATGGAGTTAATGGAATGGTATCCATGTGTTTGATCCGTCCTCCCCTCACCAGCCGCGTCTTTGGTACATTATGATGGCGTTAGTATGATAATGTTCCATCAGACAGCGGCCATTTTGGATCTCCTCTGTGCAGTTTCAAACCAACAGTCGGTTTAGTTTGGAATGGGATGTATCTGTTGAGTGTTTAAGTGTATATGTGATATACATTTTCTCTCCAGGTTCCTCGTAACCCAGAACTGCCCAACTCGGCCCAGCACCAGAAGGAGGAGCAGGCCAAGATTGACGAGGCCGAGGGCCTATCAGAGGAGGAGCTGGAGGAGAAGGAGAACCTCCTCTCGCAGGTAATTGGCTGAAACAAGACATCATACTTAAACACTCTAGACATTCATCATAGTGCCCTACTACATGTCATATTTATAGAACTACATATAGTTCAGTTGAGATACTCTTCAGTGGCTTCAACTACAAAGTAGAGACAAATGTTAGCGTTTGTGGCTAGTGTCGTTACAAACTGTCATCGATCTCTCCACAGGGCTTCACCATTTGGAACAAGCGTGACTTTAACCAGTTCATCAAAGCCAATGAGAAGTGGGGAAGAGACGACATCGAGAACATCGCCAGAGAGGTGGAGGGCAAAACCCCAGAGGAAGTCATGGAATATTCCGGTAAGAAAAACAATATTTGTATTTTTTATTTTCAAATTGCATAAATGTATCCGAATCTACTTCTAGCTAGTGGACATGACTCCCAAGTGTATGACAGATATCCAAAGTCTTATGATCTAAACGTTTGTGTGTGTGTGTACACAGCTGTGTTCTGGGAGCGCTGTAACGAGCTGCAGGACATAGAGAAGATCATGGCTCAGATCGAGAGAGGAGAGGCCCGCATCCAGAGGAGGATCAGCATCAAGAAAGCACTGGACACAAAGGTAAGCCATTTCAGTGAGGTCATCATTAATAAGAACAACATTGGGGAGGCAATACCTTTTATTTTGATCAGATGCGCGATACAGTTGTGAAAACCTCTGGGCACTCCCAACCCTTATGAATGAATGTCTCAGGAGCTGGTGTCTGATCATGTCTACCAGAGGCTTACCATACACCCTGAATGACATCTTTTTCTCTCTCTTGTTGTAGATTGGTCGCTACAAGGCTCCATTCCACCAGTTGAGGATCTCGTACGGCACCAACAAGGGGAAGAACTACACGGAGGAGGAAGACCGCTTCCTCATTTGCATGCTGCACAAGCTGGGCTTCGAAAAGGAGTCGGTCTACGACGAGCTGCGCCAGTGCATCCGCAACTCGCCCCAGTTCCGCTTCGACTGGTTCCTCAAGTCCAGGACCGCCATGGTGAGTGGAGTTGCCCTAGTAGACAGTGGAATTGAGTACAACCTGAAGATGGAAATGTGGTTTTACTTCTTCAGTAACATGATAACCATTAATTTATTATATACAGTGCCTTCGGAAAGTATTCAGACCCCTTGACTTTTCCCATATTTTGTTACGTTACAGCCTTATTCTAAAATTGGTTAAATTGTTTTTTTCCCCCTCATCAATCTACACACAATACCCAATAATGACAAAGAAAAACTGAAATATGATATTTACATAAGTATTCAAACCCTTTACTCTGTACTTTGTTGAAGCACCTTCGGCATCGATTACAGCCTTGAGTCTTCTTGGGTATGACGCTACAAGCTTGGCACACCTGTATTTGGAGTTCCTCCCATTCTTCTCTGCAGATCCTCTCAAGCTCTGTCAGGTTGGATGGGGAGCGTTGCTGCACAGCTATTTTAAGGTCTCTCCAGAGATGTTAGTTCGGGTTCAAGTCCGGGCTCTGGCTGGGCCACTCAAGTACATTCAGAGACTTGTCCCGAAGCCACTCCTGCGTTGTCTTGGCTGTGTGCTTAGGGTCGTTGTCCTGTTGGAAGGTGAACCGTCGCCCCAGTCTGAGGTCCTGAGCGCTCTGGAGCAGGTTTTCATCAAGGATCTCTCTGTACTTCGCTCCGTTAATCTTTGCCTCGATCCTGACTAGTCTCCCAGTCCTTGCCACTGAAGAACATTTATTTTATTTTATTTTTTACATTTTTAGTCATTTAGCAGACGCTCTTATCCAGAGTGACTGACGAGGCCGAGGGCCTATCAGAGGAGGAGCTGGAGGAGAAGGAGAACCTCCTCTCGCAGGTAATTGGCTGAAACAAGACATCATACTTAAACACTCTAGACATTCATCATAGTGCCCTACTACATGTCATATTTATAGAACTACATATAGTTCAGTTGAGATACTCTTCAGTGGCTTCAACTACAAAGTAGAGACATGTTAGCGTTTGTGGCTAGTGTCGTTACAAACTGTCATCGATCTCTCCACAGGGCTTCACCATTTGGAACAAGCGTGACTTTAACCAGTTCATCAAAGCCAATGAGAAGTGGGGAAGAGACGACATCGAGAACATCGCCAGAGAGGTGGAGGGCAAAACCCCAGAGGAAGTCATGGAATATTCCGGTAAGAAAAACTATTTTTATTTTTTATTTTCAAATTGTATAAATGTATCCGAATCTACTTCTAGCTAGTGGACATGACTCCCAAGTGTATGACAGATATCCAAAGTCTTATGATCTAAACCAGGGGTGTCAAACGTCCGGCCCACGGGCCGGATCAGGCCCGCAAACGGGTTTAATCCGGCCCGCGAGATGATAAAAAAAAAAAATTTAATTATAATTTTGTCAAGTATAAAAATGCGCTGCAATTTTTCAATAAAATAAACTGCTGTTCCAATTGTGTCCACTGGATGGAGCAATAGCAATTGTGTTAAGCAAGCAAACTGTTTATACCGGGGCAGAGCAAGTAGGTCAAGCACGTGCAGCCAATGAGCTACTTTGTTTTGCCCGCGATATTTATTACGGCTTCTACTTTTAACATTGTACTTTGGCACCCTCATTGCCCCAATATGTCTCTGTCAAAAAAGAGAAAAGTGGACGCAGAGTGCAGAGTGTTCCAAGAAAAATTGTCATCCTTCTATTTATTCACGGAATTGAATGGGAAAGCTGTATGTTTGGTGTGTTCAGAGCATGTTGCAGTGCTGAAAGAATGTAACCTTTGTCGCCACTATGTGAGTCTTCATGCCGACAAATATGACAACTTTCAAGGACAGCGGAGATGAGAGAAGGTGAATGAACTGTTGGCGGGTCTGAAGAAACAGCAGTCTGTGTTTACTCACAGCCGAGACATCAGTGATGCTGCAGTGAAAGCTAGCTACCTCATTGCTAATGAAATCGCAGTGGCTTCAAAACCATTTAGTGAGGGTGAATTTGTTAAAAACATGCATGATGAAGGCAGCGGAGATTGTGTGCCCTGAAAAGCGGCAGGCTTTTGCAAATATCAGCCTGACAAGAAACACAGTTGCAGACAGGATTTCCGATCTTTCAGTGGATTTGGACAGCCAGTTGAAGCAAAAAGTAAAGTCATTTATTGCGTTTTCGGTTGCAATTGATGAAAGCACGGACATTACAGATGTTGCACAACTGGCCATTTTCATCCGCGGAGTTGATGACACATTGACCGTCACCGAGGAGTTCGTGGAGTTGGTGCCGATGACAGATACAACGACAGCAGCTGATATTTTTACCGCACTCGTCGGCGCGCTGGACAGGGTCGGAGTGGACTGGTCCCGCGCTGTCAGCCTGGCTACAGATGGTGCGCCCTCAATGATCGGGAAAAAAGCAGGCGTTGTGACAAAGTTCAGAGAGAAAGTGCAATCTGCAAATGGAGGACGTGATTTTTTGACTTTTCACTGTATTTTGCACCAGGAGGCTTTGTGTTGCAAGTCATTAAAGATGGATAACGTCATGAAGGTGGTCATCCAAACTGTTAATTTCATCCGATCCAGAAGCCTGAATCACCGTCAGTTTGACAGCCTTCTCAGAGAGAAAGACCACATCTATGGCCTGCCATACCACACTGAGGTAAGATGGTTAAGCCGAGGTGCTGTGCTGAGGCGTTTCTTTGATTTACGAGAATAAATTGAACAGTTCATGGAAGAAAAGGGCAAACCAGTGTTAGAATTTCATTCCGCAGAATGGATGCAGGACCTTGCATTTATGGTGGATGTTACAGAGCACCTGAATAACTTGAACAAACAGCTGCAAGGGCGCAACAAAGTTGTCACGCAGTATTATGACAGCATACGTTCTTTCAAGTTGAAGCTGTCATTGTGGGAGACGCAACTTGGTGATGCAGCTCACTTCCCCTGTCTGAAAAATGTGTGCGCGACCCAACATGTGGCAGACATGAAGCGGTTCAAAGATAAAATAACGGGACTGTTACGGGAGTCTGAGCAACGCTTTCAGATTTATGTTTATATGTTTTTATGTTGATGTGCTATTGTTTTTAATTGATTTTATTTTATTTGTATATTTAACCTATTCTTGACTCTGTGGTTCTTGCACTTGTTTGGGGAACAGGATTTCATTATTTGTATCTACATTTCTGCCTGAGAAATGACCCCCTGATATAGTTCTGTGATCTGTGAAACAGTTCTGTTAATCACTGAGGCATTGTGTGTTTGTGTTCTTTTTCTTTAGAATTTTCAAATAAACTTGACGTGTTTTATGATTAATAGTGATGTTGTGCTTGTACTATTTTGGACACACTGTCCTCAGGCTCCAGCTTTATGTTGTATGTTGATCGTATTAAAACAAAGAAAACAATCTGAAGTTGTTGTTTTTAAGTTATATATACCATGATTTTTCCGGTCCGGCCCACTTGGGAATAGATTTTCCTCCATGTGGCCCCTGAGCTAAAATGAGTTTGACACCCCTGATCTAAACGTTTGTGTGTGTGTGTACACAGCTGTGTTCTGGGAGCGCTGCAACGAGCTGCAGGACATAGAGAAGATCATGGCTCAGATCGAGAGAGGAGAGGCCCGCATCCAGAGGAGGATCAGCATCAAGAAAGCACTGGACACAAAGGTAAGCCATTTCAGTGAGGTCATCATTAATAAGAACAACATTGGGGAGGCAAGACCTTTTATTTTGATCAGATGCGCGATACAGTTGTGAAAACCTCTGGGCACTCCCAACCCTTATGCATGAATGTCTCAGGAGCTGGTGTCTGATCATGTCTACCAGAGGCTAACCATACACCCTGAATGACATCTTTTTCTCTCTCTTGTTGTAGATTGGTCGCTACAAGGCTCCGTTCCACCAGTTGAGGATCTCGTACGGCACCAACAAGGGGAAGAACTACACGGAGGAGGAGGACCGCTTCCTCATTTGCATGCTGCACAAGCTGGGCTTCGAAAAGGAGTCGGTCTACGACGAGCTGCGCCAGTGCATCCGCAACTCGCCCCAGTTCCGCTTCGACTGGTTCCTCAAGTCCAGGACCGCCATGGTGAGTGGAGTTGCCCTAGTAGACAGTGGAATTGAGTACAACCTGAAGATGGACATTTGGTTTTACTTCTTCAGTAACATGATAACCATTCATTTATTATATACAGTGCCTTCGGAAAGTATTCAGACCCCTTGACTTTTCCCATATTTTGTTACGTTACAGCCTTATTCTAAAATTGGTTAAATTGTTTTTTTCCCCCTCATCAATCTACACACAATACCCAATAATGACAAAGCAAAAACTGGTTTTTAGAAAAACTGAAATATGATATTTACATAAGTATTCAAACCCTTTACTCTGTACTTTGTTGAAGCACCTTCGGCATCGATTACAGCCTTGAGTCTTCTTGGGTATGACGCTACAAGCTTGGCACACCTGTATTTGGAGTTCCTCCCATTCTTCTCTGCAGATCCTCTCAAGCTCTGTCAGGTTGGATGGGGAGCGTTGCTGCACAGCTATTTTAAGGTCTCTCCAGAGATGTTAGTTCGGGTTCAAGTCCGGGCTCTGGCTGGGCCACTCAAGTACATTCAGAGACTTGTCCCGAAGCCACTCCTGCGTTGTCTTGGCTGTCTGCTTAGGGTCGTTGTCCTGTTGGAAGGTGAACCGTCGCCCCAGTCTGAGGTCCTGAGCGCTCTGGAGCAGGTTTTCATCAAGGATCTCTCTGTACTTCGCTCCGTTAATCTTTGCCTCGATCCTGACTAGTCTCCCAGTCCTTGCCACTGAAGAACATTTTAATTAATTTTTTTACATTTTAGTCATTTAGCAGACGCTCTTATCCAGAGCGACTTACAGGAGCAATGAGGGTTAAGTGCCTTGCTCAAGGGCACATCGACAGATTTTTCACCTAGTCGTCTCGGGGATTATAACCAGCGACCTTTCGGTTACTGGCACAACGCTCTTAACCACTAAGCTACCTGCCGCCCCACAGCATGATGTTGCCACCACCATGCTTCACCGAAACCAAGAATTCAATCTTGGTTTCATCAGACCAGAGAATCTTGTTTCTCATGGTCTGAGAGTCTTGAAATTGCCAAAAGGCACCTACAAGCGGGCTGTTGTGCCTTTTACTGAGGAGTGGCTTCCATCTGGCCACTCTACCATAAAGGCCTGATTGGTGGAGTGCTGCAGAGATGTTTGTCCTTCTGGAAGGTTCTCCCATCTCCACAGAGGAACTCTGGAGCTCTGTCAGAGGGACCATCAGGTTCTTGGTCACCTCCCTGACCAAGGCCCTTCTCCCCCGATTGCTCAGTTTGGCCGGGCGGCCAGCTCTAGGAAGAGTCTTGGTGGTTCCAAACTTCTTCCATTTAAGAATGATGGAGGCCACTGTGTTCTTGGGGACCTTCAATGCTGCAGAAATGTTTTGCTACCCTTTCCAAGATCTGTGCCTCGACACAATCCTGTTTCGGAGTTCTACGGACAATTCCTTCAACCTCATGGCTTGGTTTTTGCTCTGACATGCACTGTCAACTGTGGGACCTTATATGGACAGGTGTGTGCCTTTCCAAATCATGTCCAATCAAGTGAATTTACCACAAGTGGACTCCAATCAAGTTGTAGAAACATCTCAAGGATGATCAATGGAAACAGGATGCACCTGAGCACAATTTCGAGTTTCATAGCAAAGGGTCTGAATACTTATGTAAATAAGGTATTTCTGTTTTTTAAATTTGCAAAAATGTCAGCCTGTTTTCGCATTGCCATTATGGGGTATTGTGTGTAGATTGATGAGGATTTTAAATCCATTTTAGACTAAGGCTGGTTCAGGAAACAAAACATTATCCAATTCGAAGAGTTGTGGCTGTAGACTAACGTGTGTGTGTGTGTGTGTGTGTGTGTAGGAGCTCCAGAGGCGATGCAACACCCTGATCACCCTGATTGAACGAGAGAACATGGAGCTGGAGGAGAGAGAGAAAGCAGAGAAGAAGAAGAAGGGACCACGGAGTCAGTCTTCTGTAAGATCACAACGCTCTTCTTCCTGCCCCTCACTGAATTCTCTTGTCATGCAGTCCTCTCTTTGCATTGTGCAGGATGACACATGACACTAACAATATCACACAATGTTCTTTTAAAAATATATAGTCTTGTCTAAACCAATATGCCATTGTAATCGGCCATTATTCTATGAAGTGCCGATTATGACTATTTGATCTGACACTCCTTTTCTCTCTCTCTCTTCCTCCTCATCCCCCTCTTCCTCAGGCTCAGAAGCGTAAGGGAGAAGGGACCCCAGACCAGCGAGGAGGCCGCAGGAAAAAGCTAAAGCTGTGAGGGGTGAAAGGCAGATTGAGGGCAGCAGCAGTATAGTAGTCGTAGCGTCTGTTTGTTTTTTACGGGTTACCATGGTGATACATGATGATGATTTACTGTATAAAACCCCAGAGGACTGAACTTTTCTTCACTATAGCGTGTCGTTCTATCTAGAAGGTTCTCTAGATAGAGCTCGTTATATTGGCAGGCCTGCCTAGTAGGGACTAACTGGCATACTGCAGCTGTGCTGATTTAGTTCAATGTTTGTTTTGTTTTAGTTTTCTACCCTTTTTTTACTAGTACTTGAGGTGAGGAGAAATGTATTTATGCCTGTTGGTTGTGTTCTATCACATTCCATTGCTTGTAACGATACCTGTATGTATCCCCCCTCCCACTTTTTTTATTTTAAGGAACCACTGTTATGTTACAGATCTACATTGTAGAAAATGTATTTTTGGAACATGTCACTAATAAATTACCCCTTTTTTAAATAAGTATTTTTTCTTATGCATACGAGGAGACTGTTTTTATGTTGAATATTTTTGCAAAGCTTTTCACACAGCAGTGGAGATGCATGTTCACAGGCAGTCTGAGTGAAAACTAGGACCAAAATAATTCAGAAAAGTACATTTGTATTTGGCAGTTAAAGTTGGAGTACATCAAACAATTGATTGAAATTATCACAAAATTGATAAGTCACCAATTCGATCTAAATTGGTCGGTGACAAATTTCTATACCTGAACTAATTGGCACCTATTAACTTATACTGTCACTTGCATAAGATCAAGATAGTCACATTCTTCAGTTGATAAATGCTTACTTGATAAACAGCATCAAATGTGGGGTTTGCATATTTTTCAAGTTTCACCAGGGTGTAGTAATGAATACCTTTTGTTTGCATTTTCCTGTGTTGACTTTGAACATCCTATACATGCACGTATGTACACAGACGTATAAGAGTAATAATATGAACATACGTATGATTTTTTAAACTGCACCTGAAACAAAAATGTATAAAAACATTCTGAATGAATAGTTCACGCACTCGAATGACTAAAATGGACAACATAACAATCCCTTTGAATAGCGCCATGTCTGTGTTCTGCTACAGTGGGTACACCTAACTACTGAGGGCTTTGTAAAGCACAGCAGTACGTCAATCAATATAACAAAAATACATGAATTTACCACATTTGATACAGCCAGCCTCGACCGGACCGACACAACCCAACATTCGACCCACTTGGCTCTCTATCTCACACAAAAAAGTTATAATATATAAATTGACAGATAGAATGACAGACAACAAAATAACGTGGTAGAATAGTTCTCTTAAGAAAAACAGGACAGAATAGTCTCCTCAAAGCTGCTTCTCACTACTAAGGGGGACATTTTTTTTGTTGCTTTTGCCTTCTGGAGATGCCATTACTGTTTTAAGAAGATGTAATTTTCAGCTATGGCAGTTGTTAGCATAGTTGGACGGGGTATTCTTCACAACATCAGCACTTGGGGACTCCTAATATTTGACACATGATTTAGAACTATCCTAACTAAAGCACAACTGAGTGGAGTTCAGACAATTGAGATGTTGAGGGGGACTGAAACCCATGTTAAATACAGTAGGCATACCACAGGAAAAGGGGTAAAAACACTTCATTGAGGATTCATGGAGCCTCACATTACTTTCTCTCTCGCCAGGCGTGGCCAACCATGCATGCATTCATACTCTGGTTATAGGCCCACAACACACATCAACTGACATCAACTGTCCCAAGAATTGGCTGTGCTGTCTTCAGTGCTAGTAGAAGGCAGGGTTAGCCTTGTCTTAGGGCTCTATTCAATCTGTATCGCGGAAGTTCAGTGTTACAGCGTGATTGAAATGTAAAGCCAGTGTTCCCGCGTTAGCGGAGACTGCATTCACGGTAAACGCTGCATATGTCGGCTCAATTGGAAATTACCTTTACATTTCTATCACGCAATCTATAACGCTTCAGCGATTAGGTTTGGATAGAGCCCTTAGAAGGCACGGCAGTGGTAGAGGTTGGAACTGTTGACAACTGTCAATGTCTTATCAGAAGGCCACAGGGGCGGGGTATGGGATGGTGTTGGTAGGAGGGGTGTCTCTAGTCTTGAGCCTAGACCTCGGAGCTGTCCAAGCTGCTGTGCCCAGTACCCATCATGCCCTCTCTGCTGTTCCCACTCCCTCCGCTGTAGGCCGAGCACGACGAGGTGGAGTAGGGAGGGAACTGGCTCTTCTTCTGGTTCTTCCTCTTGCGCCGCACCAGCAGGATAACCACCATGGCCACCAGGCAGGTGAGAAGGATCAACCCAGCCAGGCCTACCAGCATGGGCAGGGTGGAAGTGTCCACAGGCTCCCTACCGGAACTCTCCAGGAGGGGGCGCTCCAGGAAGGGTGAGTCGCGGTCCGAACCAGCCCGGTCACGTCCCCCCCATGGCTGGCGCTGGCTCACCACCAGGCGGTCCGAGCGGTCCAGAGCGATGTGCTGGATGTTGGTTCCCCGGTTGTTGTCGGTACCGATGTCCTGGGCCAGGTCCGGAGCGGGGGCGGCACGACGGTAGCGACCCAGGGAGGAGGTGTGGAGGTCGGGCTGAGGGTCGGCCACGGAGGACAGGCTGTGGTGGTACTCCAGGCTGCGCTTGCCGATGCCACGGTTGGCGTTGTCTCGGGAGCGGACGGTGTAGATTGTGTGGATGAACCACTCCCGACCTGCAGCCACCTGGAACAACAAGACACAGTGGAGCTTGAGGTTAGTGATAAAAACTTTGGCCTATACATTTCAGTGTGTGATTTCTAACAATGGAAGCCTTTCAAATTCTTGTCATGTTTTTGCCATTATCAAGTAATTAGACTCACATTTCACTCAGATTTCAGAAACCAGATTTCATTCAAACATACAGGGACTATTTTCCCATTGGTATCCAGTTTACAGACCATATTAGGTATGAATAGAGTCAGAGAGCCTCTCTGGGTGTGTCAGCTGACCTGGAAGAGAGGTGAGGAGGACAGGGTGAATCCGTCTGAACCAGGCTGTCTGACCAGAGGCAGGCCTCCAGGAGTGTCCAGGGCCAGAGTGGCCTCAAACAACACATCTCCAAACGCTGTAGCCTGGGTCTCTGGCTGGGCCTTGTCCTGGAGGAGGAAAAAACAAACACACAGGTTAGACCACTGAAATCATTATAGATAGAACCTAACTTGTATAGGATGTCTATGGATCAGAGGTAGGTAGCCTAGCGGTTAAGAGCATTGGGCCAGTAACCAAAAGGTTTCTGGTTCGAATCTCCGAGCCGACCTGGTGAAAAAGCTGTCGATGTGCCCTTGAGCAAGGCACTTAACCCTAATTGTTCCTGTAAGTCATTCTGGATAACAGCATCTGCTAAATATGCAACATTTAAAAATGTAAAACAGCCTAACAGCAGTATGGCTCAAATGTACTGTGTTGTCAAGAGCACAAATGATTGTAAATGGTTGAAGTAAGAAATTAATAATGAATGAATATGGTAAAACTGACCAAACTACATTCAAAGTGACCATAACAAAACTCCAGAGGAATTTCCCCCTGAGTGGAGGCATCATGTGTTAAGTGATTGCCGTACGCACCAGGATCTTGAATCTGTAGAGCAGTGAAGGTGCGTCGGCCAGGCAGCCATACTCCTTGTTGGTGGGGTTGTACTTGGGGACGTAACCGTCAGCTCCTGTACACAGGAACACCTTCTCTATACTGCAGGAGAAGGAGTCACCCAGGTTCTGGACTGGGTCCACCATCACACGGCCGTAGATAGAGGAGCCTGGAGGGAGAGATTAGAGGAGGGTGGTGTCCATTGGAGGGAGAGATTAGAGGAGGGTGGTGTCCATTGGAGGGAGAGATTAGAGGAGGGTGGTGTCCATTGCTCTGTGACAGTTCAACAAGCACTGAAAGCTTCATTAAATCGTTATTAGACTGTTGAATATTATCTTTACATTCAAACTCAGAAAGCAGTTTGAAAGAAAGCTTTTTCTGAGTTCTATTGGAGATAAAACAGCTAATAGCATACAGTGAGTGTACAAAACATTAGGAACACCTTCCTAATATTGAGTTGCACCCCCCTTTGCCTTAGCCTCAATTCATCAGGCATGGACTCTACAAGGTGTTGAAAGTGTTCCACAGGGATGCTGGCCCATGTTGACTCCAATGCTTCCCACAGTTGTGTCAAGTTGGCTGGATGTACTTTGGGTGGTGGACTATTCTTGATACACAAACTATTGAGCGTGAAAAACCCAGCAGCGTTGCAGTTCTTGACACACTCAAACCGGTGCCCTGGCACCTACTACCATACCCTGTTCAAAGGCACTTAAATATTTTGTGTTGCCCATTCACCCTCTGAATGGCACACATACACAATCCATGTCTCAATTGTCTCAAGGCTTAACAATCCTTATTTAACCTGTCTCTTCCCCTTCATCTACACCGATTGAAGTGGATTTAACAAGTGACATCAACAAGGAATCATAGCTTTCACCTGATCAGTCTATGCCATGGAAAGAGCAGGTATTCTTAATGTTTTGTACACTCAGTGTATATTGACTAGTGGTGTATCTTTCTATATGTTGACTAGTGGTGTATCTATCTATATGTTGACTAGTGGTGTATCTATCTATATGTTGACTAGTGGTGTATCTATATATATGTTGACTAGTGGTGTATCTATATATATGTTGACTAGTGGTGTACCTACAGTATATATTGACTAGTGGTGTATCTATCTATATGTTGAATAGTGGTGTATCTATCTATATGTTGACTAGTGGTGTATCTATCTATATGTTGACTAGTGGTGTATCTATCTATATGTTGACTAGTGGTGTATCTACAGTATATATTGACTAGTGGTGTATCTATATATATGTTGAATAGTGGTGTATCTATCTATATGTTGACTAGTGGTGTATCTATATATATGTTGAATAGTGGTGTATCTATCTATATGTTGACTAGTGGTGTATCTATCTATATGTTGACTAGTGGTGTATCTATCTATATGTTGACTAGTGGTGTATCTATCTATATGTTGAATAGTGGTGTATCTATATATATGTTGAATAGTGGTGTATCTACAGTACAGTTGTGGTCAAAGGTTTTGAGAATGACACAAATATTAATTTTGCTGCTGCCTCAGTTTTTATGATGGCAATTTGCATATACTCCAGAATGTTATGAAGAGTGATCAGATTAATTGTAATTAATTGCAAAATCCCTCTTTGCCATGAAAATGAACTTAATCCCCCAAAAACATTTCCACTGCATTTCAGCCCTGCCACAAAAGGACCAACTGACATCATGTCAGTGATTCTCTCGTTAACACAGGTGAGAGTGTTGACGATGACAAGGCTGGAGATCACTGTCATGCTGATTAAGTTAGAATAACAGACTGGAAGCTTTAAAAGGAGGGTGGTGCTTGAAATCATTGTTCTTCCTCTGTTAACCATGGTTACTTGCAAGGAAACACGTGCCGTCATCATTGCTTTGCACAAAAAGGGCTTCACAGGCAAGGATATTGCTGCTAGTAAGATTGCACCTAAATCAACCATTTATCGGATCATAAAGAACTTCAAGGAGAGAGGTTCAATTGTTGTGAAGAAGGCTTCAGGGCGCCCAAGAAAGTCCAGCAAGCGCCAGGACTGTCTCCTAAAGTTGATTCAGCTGCGGGATCGGGGCACCACCAGTGCAGCGCTTGCTCAGGAATGGCAGCAGGCAGGTATGAGTGCATCTGTACGCACAGTGAGGCAAAGACGTTTGGAGGATGGCCTGGTGTCAAGAAGGGCAGCGAGGAAGCCACTTCTCTCCAGGAAAAATATCAGGGACAGACTGATATTCTGCAAAAGGTACAGGGATTGGACTGCTGAGGACTGGGGTAAAGTCATTTTCTCTGATGAATCCCCTTTCCGATTGTTTGGGGCAACCGGAAAAAAGCTTGTCAGGAGAAGACAAGGTGAGCGCTACCATCAGTCCTGTGTCATGCCAACAGTAAAGCATCCTGAGACCGTTCATGTGTGGGGTTGCTTCTCAGCCAAGGGAGTGGGTGCACTCACAATTTTGCCTAAGAACACAGCCATGAATAAAGAATGGTACCAACACATCCTCAAGAGAGCAACTTCTCCCAACCATCCAAGAACAGTTTGGTGACGAACAATGCCTTTTCCATGATGGAGCACCTTGCCATAAGGCAAAAGTGATAACTAAGTGGCTCGGGGAACAAAACATCAACATTTTGGGTCCATGGCCAGGAAACTCCACAGACCTTAATCCCATCGAGAACTTGTGGTCAATCCTCAAGAGGCGGGTGGACAAACAAAAACCCACAAATTCTGACAAACTCCAAGCATTGATTATGCAAGAATGGGCTGCCATCAGTCAGGATGTGGCCCAGAAGTTAATTGACAGCATGCCAGGGCGGATTGCAGAGGTCTTGAAAAAGAAGGGTCAACACTGCAAATATTGACTCTTTGCATAAACTTAATGTAATTGTCAATAAAAGCCTTTGACACTTATGGAATGCTTGTAATTATACTTCAGTATGCTATAGTAACATCTGACAAAAATATTTAAAAACACTGAAGCAGCAAACTTTGTGAAGACCAATACTTGTGTCATTCTCAAAACGTTTGACCACGACTGTATATGTTGACTAGTGGTGTATCTATATGTTGAATAGTGGTTCCTAGAGTGTCCACTAGGGGTCAATATGAGGTCAGTAGTAGTCCAGTACCCTCTGAGAAGGCTGTGTCGGTGCTCTCTCCGAAGCCCATGGATCCGTCCGACAGCCACAGCTCCCTCTTGGACAGCAGGAACATCTGGGTGTTCAGACTGAACTCAGCCGCCACTGGGTCACTCACCTGGGGTGGGTCAGAGGGCAAAGGTCAAACACAGGCACCAAGAGAGTTGATAAGATTTTAACTTTTGGCTCAATGCATTTAATCAACAAGTATCTAGTACTATTGTTTTTAGCCTCATAAAACACCAAGACAAATCAGCATTGGTGAATGACAAAGTTTCCTCTTGATTTTAGGGTCTTGGGTATGCTAGTCTTCTGCCAGAGACTGTAGGTATGCAGTGGTGGTGGTGCTGACCTGCTGGAAGCGGATGTCCATGTGGAAGGTGAGGGGTTCTCGTGGGTGACACACAGGGGGAATGCTGAACTCCCCATTGGGAGAGGCACTGCAGGGGATCATCTTCACTGTGTATGTACCAGAGTAGTCCCGCACCTACAGGCAACAACATTACAACAACATTACAACAACATTACAACAACATTAAAACACACCAAACATTTAAGGTAGTTACTGCTGGTCTGGTATCCATACTGTATGTCTTCTGTCATTACCATGTACCCGTTGGCTTCAGCACATACACTATGAATACAAAGTTAAAGGTAGACTCAGCGATATGACGTAGGTGCCCAAAGTAAACAGCATAGTGGGTCCATTTCCGCAACAACTTTGAGCGCTCATGCACCTACCACGCTCTAACGGCGTGAAGCGAACCCGTGCGCATGCGCAGATACTGTGTGTGACAGTGTGGGAGCGAAGTCTTGCATCTCGCTCATCGCAATATCTACGGTGCTGCTCGTGGCAACGTCATATCGCTGAGTCTACCTTTAAGACATACAATGATCAAGATGGTAGCTCACAGCGAAGTCAGAGACGAAGCTCCACTGCTGCATGGGCTGGTTGTAGGTGGGCTCAGTCCTGACCAGGGCCAGGGTGAAGGTCAGGCCAGAGAGGTCAGCACACATCACCATGGACGACAGAGTGGTTCCTGGAAACACACAGTCAAACCTCTTTATAGTCTCATACATACATTTCTGTTGAGTGTTTCTTTCCTTTATGTATCTGTCAAGGGCATACATGAACACAACATCTTAAAACCGGTGTTGTACTGTAGACTGTAAGTTAAATAGTTAAACAATGCACCTTGTTGTAAGGTATACACATTTTCCATTGTTGATGTTAGTTTGATTCTTACTGAAAAAGGGTAAGGTCATATTGACATTTGGTAGAACGACCCCTAAGACGGTTCCACTCTAATAGCGGTACAGGATCTGGGTCACAGTGCAACCTAATAGGAGAGAAAGCTATACAATCACCCTATCGGATGTGTGTTTGTGTGTAATACCTGGGTGGGACATGACAAACTGTCCCCTGAAGCGGGCCTCAGTCTTGAAGTTGACCACCAGACGTCCCTCCTCATTGATCCTCATGCTGGTGGGGTACATGGATCCTATCGGGAGACAGTTACATCAAACCAGGGTTATTGTCCACCTCTATCATTCACTGGGAAATAATGCACTGTCCATAGACGGCCTATAATGCGTTACCGTTTAAGGACATCATTTACTCTTATCCAGAGCATTTACAGGAGCAATTAGGGGTAAGTGCCTTGCTCAAGGGCACATTTACATATTTTTCACCTAGTCAGCTCGGGGATTCAAACCAGCGACCTTTCTGTTACTGGCCCAATGCTCTTAACCGCTAGGCTACCTGCCGCTTGGTGTGACAATATTGGTGCTATCAAGAATGTAGCTCCCATCCAGAATTTGTATGGTAGTCACATGTTGACTTATGAGCGTAATGTATTAGGAAAGATATTAAATATGCCTACAGACAATTAATTATACAGGTATTAACTGAGTAATACACAGTGGTGTAATGTACTTAAGTAAAAATACTTTAAAGTACTACTTAAGTCATTTTTTGGGGTATCTGTACTTTACTTTACTATTTATATTTTTGACAACTTTTACTTCACTACATTCCTAAAGAAATTATGTACATTTTACTCCAAACATTTTCCCTGACACCCAAAAGAACTTGTTACATTTTGAATGCTTAGCAGGACAGGAAAATGGTTCAACTTATACATTAATCAAGAGATCATCCCTGGTCATCCCTACTGCCTCTGATCAGGCAGACTCACGAAACACAAATGCTTCATTTGTAAATTATGTGTGCCCCTGGCTATCCATAAAAATAACATTGTGCAGTCTGGTTTGCTTAATATAAGGAATTTGAAAGGATTTATACTTTTACTTTTGATACTTAAGTATATTTTAGCAATTATATTTACTTTGGATACTTATGTATATTTAAAACCAAATACTTTTAGACTTTTACTCAAGTAGTATTTTACTGGGTGACTTTCACTTTTATTTGAGTCATTTTCTATTAAGATATCTTTACTTTTACTCAAGTATGACGATTAGGTACTTTTTCCACCACTGGTAATACAAGTCATCCACCTCACTGTAGCACTTAAAATAGCCAACAGAGGGCAGAATTGGCTGTACCTTGCAGTTCAGCCTCCGGCGGGCTGCCAATTCCGTCCTGCCACAAGATGGCGGTGTCGTACACAAAGGTGAGCTTGAGCTCTGACTGCAGGTCAAAGTGCTGCCATCCTCCCACGGCCACTGGAGAGTGGAAGACATAGGACACATACAGAGGCACGCGCAGAGTCACGTAGGACTGGACCAGGTTCAGCACCTAGAGGAAGTGCAACACAGAGATACATAGTCAGGGTCATCTTCAACTGTACCTGGATCAGCATATAGCACATTACAAAACAGAGGATAGGAACACTTTACATTTTTAAATGTTTAGTCATTTAGCAGACGCTCTTATCCAGAGCGACTTACAGTTAGTGAATACATTTTTTTATTTTTTTTATTTTTTTATACTGGCCCCCCGTGGGAATCGAACCCACAACCCTGGCGTTGCAAACGCCATGCTCTATCAACTGAGCTACATCCCTGCCGGCCATTCCCTCCCCTACCCTGGACGACGCTGGGCCAATTGTGCGCCGCCCACACTTTTGTGGTCCTCTGTAGCTCAACTGGTAGAGCCCGGCGCTTGTAACGCCAAGGTAGTGGGTTCGATCCCCGGGACCACCCATACACAAAAATGTATGCACGCATGACTGTAAGTCGCTTTGGATAAAAGCGTCTGCTAAATGGCATATTATTATTATTATTACTTCAGAGCATTCAAGCATGAAAGGTAACACAGAGGGAATTTAACGCAGAAGGAATTTAACGCAGAGGGAATTTAACGCAGAGAAAATTTAACAAAGAGGGAATTTAAGGCAGAGGGAATTTAACGCAGAGGGAATTTAACACAGAGGGAATTTAACACAGAAGGAATTTCAAAATGTCTACTTTCAACTTGACAGATTACTGAAACAACAACAGCAAACTGAGTAATCGAGAGTTACACACAGACAACAGCCAGTGTGTGTGTGTGTGTGTGTGTGTGTGTTTGCATCAATGCATATATGTGTATGTCTCTCTCGCTCTCCAGTACCTGTCCGTCCGTCCCGATAGACCCTCCACAGGTGGTGAGCAGCTCAGACATGTCATAGTAACTATTAAACTCCCACAGACAAGCCTCCAGATTCAGGTTCCTGTAGAACCTCAGGCTGTTGGTGGAGCGCATGTCGGTGCTGTACTGGTAGGGCGACGTCTCGCCGATGATCTCAGGGTTCTTGGTGGCGTCGGTGATGAAGCCGTGGCCCGTCTGGATCTCGTTGAAGTCCAGCAGGTTGGAGCAGCGGTGGTTGCCCACACGCGTGCCGTCCGGAGACAGGGTCAGCTCGAAGTTGGACAGGGGCCGCGTAGAGATGACCGGTAACATGCCTGAAGAGAAGAGAGGTGTGAGAGAGAGATGGTTTCAATTAATCATCAATCAACTGCAACATTTATAGGTATTTTAATGACCTGGTAACTTTACACCTTTGACAATTGATCTTGAATCAGTTCTTTTTACCTCAGTCCTATTGTCATCGATTGTTAGCTAAACAATCAAACTGACTCTAGACCAGTAAGTAAGGACATGACAGAGCCTGTCACTCACCGTCCATGTGTGGCATGTTGACAGTGAGTTTGATGAGGTTGGGGAAGTCAGGGTCGTCAGGGCCGGTGTAGCGGATCTTAGCAGAGAAGGGCTCAGCTCCTACCGTGCCAGGGATACGTGGCTGACACAGACCTAAACAAACACACGGGACATATTATTGTCACTTCTGAAACACAATCATCCTTAAACTCTCCATCATAATGTAACTCTGTCCTAATAATGACATATAATAGATGTCATCAACAGTCTTGAAGGTTGATGTCACTGAACTCTGAACCCCTCCCCTCCCCCCTCCCCCAGTCTCCACTCACCCTCCTCCTCGCTGACCACCATGATGGGACTGGACAGCTCCAGACCAGCATCCCCGTTGGCATTAAACGCCCGGGCAGCACACTGGACTCTCGACCCAGCCTGGAAGTAGATGGAGTCCAGGGTGATGGACTTAGTGTTGGTGAAGAAGGTGTTGGTGTCCACCTCTCTCATGGGCGAGGTGACCCCGTCCGGCCCGCTGGGGGCGCTAACTAGCCAGCGGTACTGGGTCAGGGTGTCGTTGATGCTCTCCGCCGTGCAGATGGAGCCCGTCTTGTCAAAGTCGTGATATTTGGGGTTGCAGGCCTGCAGGTGATAGAGGAGCCACAGGTATGTCTGATTATTACAGTAGCCTTGTAAACTGCGCTCAACACATGAAGTGAAACAAGTTTACGAGGCTATATACACGGTATATCTGGAATATGTATTTGAGAATACACTCAAGAGAATACTCTTTTTATGCCAGTAAAAGGGTCTCAGGGTTAGGATTTAGTCAGAACTGGACACAGCCTTTCAATGGGAAACGGATTGATTTACCACTTAAACAACAGGTTTTGAAACTATGAAACACAAAGACCTTCCGTTTGAAGCCTCAGCTTTTTGGACTGGATGAAAGTATGCCGATCTTGTCGCTAGCTTAGCTTTACGTGGTTAAACACCTGGTTATAAGGTGTGTGTGTGTGTCTAGGTGGTTGCATTCTGAATGTGTGTGTCTGGGCCCGGTGGCCACCACTCACCGTCACACAGACGATGGGGTAGCCAGTGGAGGGGTGAGGGCTGTCCCTGGCACGGGCCGTGTCATCGTACATTAGCAGGGACACCACTGTAGGCACAGCCGGGAAGGTGACGTCTGCCACGCTGTCCATCTCCTCGATGTACACAATCGCCTTACTCATCTGATGATGGGGAGAGAGAGAGAGAGAGATTCAAAACACCATTCCACAGGTTTAGTACACTGTATCGTGTTCTGCATTGTAAACTTGGACGTTTGAGAAGGTGGAGTTGATGTCTGCATATTACTTGACAAAAGTAAGACATTCAGTTTACTTTGTTAAACCGTTTATGGGCAGCATAAAATATCCATACATATCGAAGAACAGCAATTCTCCTCCTTAGAAAAGCATATTTGCCATACCAATGGAGGAAAGTGAAGTAAAGTGAGCATACACCTCTAGCATTATTTGTGTCAGGTTAGTGGTATGGTACAGTACATGTCTGGGATGCCACATAGCTGTGTTTGTAGGTCACACTGCTCTGTGGGTTGACTTGAGGGACATTCTCATAGCATGGTCTTTTTATAATTGCTGGTGATTCGGGTGTTGGGTCCGCTGACAGTGGCAGCTGCTGCCTGGCTATTTTAACATGGTGGAAAGTGTGTGTTCAAGTGTGTGTGCATGCCCTGAGACCTGGGGGCTGCTGAGGGTATTTATGTGGTGTGTGTGTGTGTGTTGTGTGTGTCTAGGTGGGTGATCTCGGTGGGTGTCAGCAGCATACCACCCTGCATCCCACTGCTGGCTTGCCTCTGAAGCTAAACAGGGTTGGTCCTGGTCGGTTCCTGGATGGGAGACCAGATGCTGCTAGAAGTGGTGTTGGAGGGCCAGTAAGAGGCAGTCTTTCCTCTGATCTAAAATAAAGAATATCCCAATACCCCAGGGTAGTGACTGGGGACATTGCCCTGTGTAAGGTGCTGTCTATCAGATGGGATGTTAAAAGGTGTCCAGACTGTCAGTGGTCACTAAAGATCCCATGGCACTCATCGTAAGAGTAGGGGTGTTAACCCCGGTGTCCTGGCTAAATTCCCAATCTGGCCCTCATATCATCATGGCCACCTAATCATCCCCTGCTTCCAATTGGCACATTCATCTCCCCTGTAACTATTCCCCAGGTCATTGCTGTAAATGACAATGTGTTCTCAGTCAACTTACCTGGTCAAATAAATACATCAAATCTGTGTGCGTGACACCATGCCCTCAGTCTTACCTGTGTCTCTGCGACCATGTACTCATCAGGCTTCATGTGGACGACAAAGGCTTCTCTCATCTCTCTCAGGCCGTCATACAGGATCTGCACCTCCACAACGTGTTCTGTCTCACCCTCCTTGAACTCCACATCTTGGGTGACACACACAAGGTTAAACAAGAGCTTAATAAGGATCTCTATAAAAAAAAGTATCAAGTCATTTTTGGTGTGAATAGGTTATACACGACAATGCCAAACACAATATGACAACAATGGCTGTATGGGGGCAATTCCACGGAAACAGAAAACAGAATAATGCTGAGTCTCAGATTTTTCACTTTAAAATGTATGTCAAACAAAAACCAATCATTGCAAAGTTAAACAAACCATACAACTCTCTGGACAAGACTACTTTTAACAATTTCCACTGAAAATTGTACAAAAACACATTTACTTGAAGAACAGTGCCGATGCAAAGTTTGGTAACAGAATGACGGTATGAGCTGTTTCTTCAAGTAAATGTTTTTTTTTTTTTTTTTGTTCAGTGGACATCGTAAAAGTGGTCCTTGTGCATAGAGTTGTATGGTTTATTAAACATTGCAATCATTGGTTTTTGTTTGACATCCATTTGAAAGCGTCAAATCTAAGTCTCAACATAATTCTGTTACTGTGGAATTGCCCATACCCTTCCTTCATATGGCTACTAGCATCCCACTTAGAATGAAGCAATGTTTAGGACAATCTAAGTGGGATGCTAGTGTGGATTTTGGAACATAGCCTACAGTTCCTGTATGTCTACTCACCCTCCGACAGGGGGTTGTAGTCCTCTCCAGAGGTTACGGTTAGTTATGTCTGTGTTATATGATTAAACTATGACTTATATGATAACTTAATGCTATAACTCACCCTCCGACAGGGGGTTGTAGTCCTCTCCAGAGGTGGCTGACCCGTCCTTGGTGTGGACCCTGACCAGGGAGACCTTGGAGGTGTCTCCTAGCCTCAGGATAGGGATCTTCACCACGGATGTCTCCCCCTGGACCTGGGGCTCCCGTACACTGTACTTTATCTCACTGAAACGGATGATAGGCTCTAAGGAGAGAGAGAATCAGGTTAGACCCCAGATAGAAAACATAACATACTACTAACTATAACTGTCTAGAGACAGAGAGACTGAATAAAAGCATTAATAAAACAAGCAAACTGTCCTTTTATTTGTAACACTTTATTAAGCCAATTTTGGTGTAGCCCAATGTTAGCTGTGGTAGATATCTCCATGTTCCTTGGGTGATGCTTACTGTCTTTCTCGTCAGTAATGGTGACCACCGCCTCTTTCTGTTCCCCTATGGAGGCGCCGAAGGGTGACTTGCTCTTAGGTGTTCCCAGCACCAGACGGAACTCCTCATCCTCCTCATACAGGTTATCATCCACCAGGTTCACCACACACTCCTTCTCACTCTCCCCTATAGGATAGACAGAGAGGGGGAACACGGAGTTAACACAGAGAAATATGAGGATATGGGGGGTTGGCATATAACAAGGGGGTGAGAGATGAAAGGGAGGATGCTGAAGATATGAAGGGGTGGAGGAGGGAAAGACAAGAGAGACGTGTGAAAGATGAAGAGATACAGTAGATGTTGGGAAGAAGGGATGACATCGAGAGAGAGATATAGATAAATAGAGAGAGAGAAGGGGTAGAGATAGGGAAGGAGGGAGAGAGAGAGAGAGAGAGAGAGAGAGAGAGAGGAGAACAGGGAGCGAGAGGGAGGGAGGAAGGGAGAGAGAGAAAGAGAAGGGATAGGGGGATTGCGAGAGAGTGAGAGAGAGAGAGAGAGAGAGAGAGAGAGAGAGAGAGAGAGAGAGAGAGAGACTGAGGTTACCTGGGAGGAAGGTGATGAGTGACCCGTCCGTGTTGGGCCTCTCATCATAATCCATCATGACCTGGGCAGAGCCCTGGCGGGTGTAGCACCGCACCGTAGACCTGTGACTGATGTCTCCACTACGATACACTACAGCCTTCATCTCCCTGTCTGCCTCATCCACCTTATAGGCAGCATCCTTGAACTGAACCTTGGGCACTGGAATGATAAGTAGATTTGAATTAGGCTCTGAAGAGAACAGAATGCTATATATCAGTACTGTAGTTTTCTAGTAGCTCAATATTATTTTCATGGCTTCTGCATAGGGAGCATAGTTCAATTACTAGAATGTGCCTTATACAATCATCTCAAAGCTGCTTTTATATGGGTAATAAAACACAAAGAATTCATACAAAGAGAAAAGCTAAAACAGTGGTTATGTTAACGCTAAAACAGTGGTTATGTTAACGCTAAAACAGTGGTTATGTTAAAGTTAAAACATTGGTTATGTTAACGCTAAAACAGTGGTTATGTTAACGCTAAAACAGTGGTTATGTTAAAACTAAAACAGTGGTTATGTTAACGCTAAAACAGTGGTTATGTTAACGCTAAAACAGTGGTTATGTTAACGCTAAAACATGGTTATGTTAACGCTAAAACAGTGGTTATGTTAACGCTAAAACAGTGGTTATGTTAACGCTAAAACAGTGGTTATGTTAACGCTAAAACAGTGGTTATGTTAACGCTAAAACAGTGGTTATGTTGAAGTTAAAACAGTGGTTATATTAATGCTAAAACAGTGGTTATGTTAACGCTAAAACAGTGGTTATGTTAACGCTAAAACAGTGGTTATGTTAACGTTAAAACAGTGGTTATGTTAACGCTAAAACAGTGGTTATGTTAACGCTAAAACAGTGGTTATGTTAAAGTTAAAACAGTGGTTATGTTAACGCTAAAACAGTGGTTATGTTAACGCTAAAACAGTGGTTATGTTAACGCTAAAACAGTGGTTATGTTAACGCTAAAACATGGTTATGTTAAAGCTAACACAGTGGTTATGTTAACACTAAAACATTGGTTATGTTAACGCTAAAACAGTGGTTATGTTAAAGATAAAACAGTGGTTTTGTTAACGCTAAAGCAGTGATTATGTTAAAGCTAAAACAGTAGTTATGTTAACAGTAAAACAGTGGTTATGTTAACAGTAAAACAGTGTGAAACAGTGAAAAAGTGTCTGAAAGAGAGTGTGTGTCTGTATAACTCACAGTCAGTAACAGTATCATTAATAGTGATGGTGGTCTTGCTGGGCTCTCCCAGCACAGCATTCATGGGCATCCTCAGCACCAGGTCAAAGGTCTCTGGGCCCTCCAGCTCCGGCTGACCCAGGTCATCCAGGATGGTCACTCTGAACGTCTGCATGGTCACCCCGGGTGCAAAGTCCATGTTACGGCTGATGCCCACGTAGTCTAGGCCGGCTGGCAGGGGGAGACGGGGAACAGCAATAGAATTAGAACAGGGAGAGAGTCAGTGAGGGCATTGGAATAGTACCATAGCAGAGAAAGAGAAGACACTGGAATGTCTGAGAAATATTAAGAAGGATTGGGAATTCTGTGTAATTAGACAGATTGGGAACAACGTGAAAACAGAGAGTGAGGGAATCCACGTTCTTCTTCTTACCTTCAGCAGAGACCGGGTCACTCTTCCTGGAGCGGACGGTCACTGTGGCGGTCTTGGAGAGGTCAGTGCCAGTCCTCCAGACCCTGACCTCCACGTAGCCTGAACTCTCATCCACCATGTACTCTAGTTCTCCGAAATACAGAGAGGGCTCTGTGGTTAGAGGAAGGGGAGAGAGAGAGAGAGAGGGGGGAAGAAGGGAGAGCAGAGGTGGAGAGCGGAGGAGAGAGCAGAGAGAGAGAGAGGGAGAGAAGGGAAAGTGAGAGAGAGAGAGATAAGCGATCGATAGATCTGAGCAGAGATCTCGAGAGAGAGTCGAGAGTCGTAATGCGTATCCTTATGACTCGCGCAGGAGTCAGCCGTCTCCTAGAGTCTATGAATCTAGAGACGCTACTTCTAAGCTCTCATCGCTCTCTACTCGATGAGTGCGCGAGGAGATCTATGCTATAGCATCTTCCATCCTCGGTCAGGGAGACAGGTCGTGATACAATCTTTACCCCCTGTATATAGCCTCATTATTGTTATTTTATAGTGTTACTACATATATATTTTTTACTTTAGTTTATTTAGTAAATATTTTCTTAACTCTATTTTCTTAAAACCGCATTGCCTTGTAAGTAAGCATTTCACGGTAAGGTCTACACCTGTTGTATTCGGCGCATGTGACAAAAACAATTTGAATTGATTTGATTTGATATATCTTACTAATCTCTATGACAGATATGAACAGGGGCACCAAACACATTAAGTTACAACAATGTGGTTTGATTAGGGATGTTTTTAGTGAAGCCATTGTGATGGGATAATACACTCTTCTGGTCTGAACTCTGCTTGTCAGACACAGTTGGTCCGGCTGACGGGGTCATGGTGGGGTCATCCCCTCTCTTTTCCTCTCTTTCCACTCTACCCCAGGAAGAGAGCTGTCACCCCCTCATCCCTTCCTCATCCTCCACTCATCCAGGCCAGACAGTGTCGTCTGAACTCAGTGCCAGAGGTCTACAGTGCACACCTGAAAAGCCAGGTACAAATGGAGGATAAGGGAAAGGGGGATGAGTGGGGTTGGGGGGAGAAGAGGGAGGGGATGTCCTCCTTGTCTGATGACAGTAGCACTGATAAGAGGGAGGAGACGGGGGAGGCAGCACAGACAGGATGATCTCTCTCCCTCTCTCTCTGAGTAGCAGTCTAGAGGGAAGGAATGCAGATCTTTGGAATACACAGCTCTCTACCTTCTTTCTAAAAACCTGTTTTTGCTTTGTCATTATGGGGTATTGTGTGTAGATTGATGAGGGGAAAAAACCCAATTTAAACAATTTTAGAATAAGGCTGTAAAGTAACAAAATGTGGAAAAAGTCAAGGGGTCTGAATACTTTCCGAATGCACTGTATAGCTAGATAAAATAGTAAAAGTAAGACATGGAGAATAGGAAGTATGTACATATTTAACTGACTGTTAGGTGAAAAGGATTTTAAGATGTGGTCTAGAGGTCTTCCTAGACCAGGGCTTGCACTGCCACAGTCAGACAACCACCGCTGACCTAGTGAAACTTGGCTTACTCTCAATGCCTCTCAATCACCAGAGATACTGTTTAGTACCAGGGGTGGCTGGTGGGTGGTTAGGGGGAAGGAGGCATGGCAATCCCTAAAGGATCACTGAGAAGGAAGAACCAGACTAATAACAATGAAGCCTAATGCTGGCTGGGGTCCCAACCACAGGTTTACTCAGCCACGAAGATGGGTTTACACACACACACACACACACACACACCCCCCCACACACACACACACACACACACACACACACACACACACACACACACCACACACACACACACACACACACACCATACCCACACACCATACCCACACACACACACACACACACACACACACACACACACACACACACACACACCATACCCACACACACACACACACAAAGATTGAACCCACGCTTTGGTGTCACTTTGGATTCCAGGACCCACCAAGAAGTTTGTGCCACAATGGAGGAATGAATCTTTACATTGAGAAGACTTCTCCTCTTGTCGCCTGGAGATCATGTCTGGGAATGCACGCTGATTACTTATACATAACGTTTCCATTGTACTCCAAATTACAGGGGAGGGAGTGGGGAGTGTAGCCTGTACTGTGAGTGTGTCTGTCATTAGAACAAATGAGTTAGTGAAATGAATGAGCTCTGAAGGGTGGGAGAGAGGAAGGAGAGGAGGAGGAGGAGGAGGAGGAGGAGGAGGAGGAGGAGGAGGAGGAGGAGAGAAGTGCGAGAGGAGAAGTAGAGGAACGTCTCAGAGAGACAACTAAAGAGAGATAGATGACTCATTCAGTCAGATAGAGTGGATAGGGAGGACTGGAGTGGCCTCAGATTCAGAAAGTAAATCACTTGAACAATAAGGGGCAGTTTCCCAGACACAGCTTAAAGGCCCAGGGCACTCAAAAACGTGATTTCCTGTGTTTTAGATTTCCACACTATGTGGTTGGAATAATACTGTGAAAGAGCTAAGAGTTTTAGTTTGAAAAGACCGCCTGAAATTTCAGCCTGTTTTGGTGGGATGGAGTTTTGGCCTTCCATGGTGACATCACCATGCTGTAAATGAGTTAATAGACCAATAAGAAAGAGATTTCCAAACCTCTCTGCCAATAACTGCTAATTTTCAGTTTTCCCCTCCCACTCAGACCACTCCCAGACAGTCCTAGCAAAGTTCTTGCTTGAGAAATTACCCTTCGCTAAGAAGCTATTTTTGTGTATTTCTTTTCCATTTTAATTTAAAACAATCACAGTAAGGTAATTAATTATTACCCAGTAATGATTTGATATTGAGATAAAAACGGCTGTATTGGACCTTTAAGACTGGTCCTGGATTAACAATCATTATCAGTGGAAAATCTCCATTGAATGTGCTTCTTGGTTTACCTGTGTCCATGAAACAAACACATCTCCTTTTTCTCATCTAAAGCCTACGGGTGATATTTGACGTACATGCAAAGGAAAAGAGGTAACATTTAAGTCAATATGATATCCTAATATGTTGCACTTTTTTTTTTAAAGTTGTAAACAAACCATCAACCCCATCTCAGATAACAGCTACACAAATAAAACAAAAATGGAGGCTGAATGCCATCAAACAGGAGCCAGAGGAAAAACATGCCTGTCATTTGACATTCCTCTCCCACAAGTCCCTGTTTCCCCACCTGCCTCTTGGCCCCTGCAACACAAAGGGAAGCCCTCCGTTTTCCCCCAGCTCCACTGAACGGGGAGTTGGAGGAGTGACTCAGAACAAAACACGTTCAGAGAGCTCTTTTATGTGTCGTGACAGAGGGTTGTCCAGTCCAGTGTAGTTTAGACTGGAGTTGCTATTCTATTCTATTTTATCTTTTCCCAGTTCTACCACCTGTTAGCGGTTATCGTGTTACTAGAAGTATGGGGTTGTAGAACAGATGGAGTGTGTAGTGAGGGGTAGAGCGAGGGGAGGGGGGAGGGGAAGGACAGGGCAAAGAGAGGGAAGTCAAGACAAACATGTGGGGAGGGGTGCTTTTGTCTTCTGTTGAGTGTGTTTGTGTGCCACTGCCTGCCTGTCTGTGTGTGTGAGGCTTTGGGGAATGGCGCCATCCATGAGTGGACTTGTATTGGAATAGATTACACATAGAGACCAGTGGGCACAGTAAAGAGGGGCATCACCCGGGCTGGAGGATCCCCAGCACCTGGCACTCTGAGTTATGGTGTTGATGGTGGCTGGAGGATCCCAGCACCTGGCACCCTGAGTTATGGTGTTGATGGTGGCTGGAGGATCCCAGCACCTGGCACCCTGAGTTATGGTGTTGATGGTGGCTGGAGGATCCCAGCACCTGGCACCTTGAGTTATGGTGTTGATGGTGGCTGGAGGATCCCAGCACCTGGCACCTTGAGTTATGGTGTTGATGGTGGCTGGATGATCCCCAGCACCTGGCACTCTGAGTTATGGTGTTGATGGTGGCTGGAGGATCCCAGCACCTGGCACCCTGAGTTATGGTGTTGATGGTGGCACTCTCCCCAAAGAGTCTTCACTAGGCTGGGTACAGTCCTACAGTACATACTCTCACAAGCCCTACTGTAGGTCCTATGTGGCTCAGTTGGTCGGCGCGTGGCTCTACCGATAACTTAGGACAGTATTAGCCATTGTTGTAGCAGGGAGTGTTTCTGTTGTTTTCATTCGATTATCAACGTCTTTTTTCTGTTGATAAACCAACATCTAACCACATCTTTCCTGCCTTTCCCCTCTTCTTTCATCTACTGTTTGGCACCAGCCCTCTATCTTTCTATCTTTCTCTCTTTCTCTCTTTCAGTCTCCTGTCTTTCCTCTTTACCTTAGTGCTTTTGGCATGGCTGCATCAATTATTCCTTTATTCTACCCCACTAACAGGAGAACAAAGAGAGAAGCAAAGTAATGCTTTTGATACGTGTCTATCATCAGTGAAAAGTAATTAACCTGTTATCAGTGGAATAGTGTTGTATCTATTTGCACGACTGTTTTCAGCAAGTGTGTTTGATATTGGACAACTGCTGGGAGATCAAATGATAATAAATCAATGTGGATGAAAGGGTTTGGGTTGCTAAGGCATCACAGGTGCACACTGACACACAACACACAGCACAGACAGAGACTAACAGACAAAAAGCCAGAGACAAAGACACACACAAACACACACACCTGTACACTTGTAACTGGGCACATCAAAGTGTCTAAGGCAACAGTTAAGCCCCCATAACAAACAAAGAGGGAGTCGTATCATTAGGAGTGGCCCATAGGAAGTCCCAGGAAGTCTTATTATTAGGAGTGGCCAATAGGAAGTCCCAGGAAGTCGTATTATTATTATTGGCCCATAGGAAGTCTCAGGAAGTCATATCATTAGGAGTGGCCAATAGGAAGTCCCAGGAAGTCATATCATTAGGAGTGGCCCATAGGAAGTCCCAGGAAGTCTTATCATTAGGAGTGGCCAATAGGAAGTCCCAGGAAGTCGTATTATTATTATTGGCCCATAGGAAGTCTCAGGAAGTCATATCATTAGGAGTGGCCAATAGGAAGTCCCAGGAAGTCATATCATTAGGAGTGGCCCATAGGAAGTCCCAGGAAGTCATATCATTAGGAGTGGCCCATAGGAAGTCTCAGGAAGTCATATCATTAGGAGTGGCCAATAGGAAGTCCCAAGAAAAAGGAACCGCTTTGAAACACTTAATATGTCTATCTTTTCTATACTCAATGTTTTTTTAAAGGGTTATCCTATGGGGACAGCCGAAGAACCCTTTTAGGTTTTAGATCACACTTTTTTTAAGACTGTACCTGCATTCACTGAACCCAAGAGATCGGGGGTCGAATAAGAAGTAATTATGATACTGGTAGAGTTTCCTTTATAGTCAATATAGTAAAGGGTCAGGAAGCATTGAGTCTGTTGCCATTGACGAGTAGCATTCAAGTTTACTTGAACCTGTGTGTTGAACTATTTGAACTAGGGTTTCAAATTTCAAGTAGGGTTTCATGACAACAGGTAACTATAGCTGCCTCCACCCACCACCCACCATACGCCCAACAACCCCACTCACCGTCGTCGCTGTCGGCCAGGATGGTGACCTTGGCGCTGGGGAAGGTGCCTCCCACCTGGCCCCCCATGGGCATGCTGAGGGTCACGTTGAAGCTCTCTTCCTCCTCGTAGAGCGAGTCGTCGATGATGATGATGCGGCAGAGCTTCTCCCTCTGGTCCTTGTCGAAGCGCAGCACGCTGGTGTGGTCCTCGGGACGCGTGATGTAGTCGCTGTAGGAGAGGACCGTGCTGGGGATTGTGCCCGTCGCACTGGCTGTTGGGAAAAGGAGTTCAGGGGTCAATGGTTAAGGGTCAATAGAAGAACGACAGGCAGTTGTGGGGGAAGGAGAGTTGTTTTATGTTACAATATATCTATATCTATGTGTATTTTATTAATGCTTTTAATCTTTGTAAAAACCCATGTATTTCAATGATGTATTTGAATGTCTTCACCTTGCTGGGTGTAGCAGACGACCATGAGTTCCTGGCTGAGGTCTCCAGAGCGGCGAACAGGCACCAGCAGTTCCCCAATATCCTCCTCTATCTTATACTCTGCCTGGGGGATGAACACTGTGGACTCTGGAGAGGAAAGAGGGAGAAACCATAGAATCAGGAAAAGTAATTTAACAGGATCTCTATGGGAGAAACAGAGGATAGGCCATAGAGAACAAGAGAAGAAGAGTTTACAAGCCCAGGTGAGTCTGTACTTGTTTGATGCATGCATATTTGCTGCTGCCATCAAATTGCCCAGCAATGGAACAATAAACATGATCTGATTCGGAATCTTAAATGAAGGATACCATTTTTTTTTTTATGTGTCAATCTATGTCAATTAATGTAGCCTTTCCAATTGACTTAGGCCTGTCTACTATTCATAAAGGATTTCATGTCGGAAGGCAAATCAAACAGATAATCCGCAGATAAGGCCGTTCATTCTTACCATCACCAGGGTCCACTATCTCCACAGTAGCTGTATCGGGGTACTCCAGCACGGCCATGACAGGCTCTGATAGCTGGATCTCAAAGGTCTCGCTGGTCTCAAACTCCTGGTCCGTGAAGATCTTCACCCTCCAGGTGGCCACTGTCTGGCCCGGGTTGAACTGGACCTGCTTCTGGGACTTGCCCCGGAAATCCTTGTCCTTCTCCGCAGTGCCATCCTTGGTGGTGATGCCTGGGATGAGAGATCACAGGATACCAGGTGAGTGTTGAATTGAACTGAACAGAACCATATTGAACTGAACTAAATTGAACCTAATTTAATTTAATTGAAATTTAGCTGAGGTAAGCTGAGCTGAACTGAATTGAGTTGAATTGAATCTAATTGAACTGAATAGCTTTATAATAACGGCACGTAGCACTGTGTAGTGTGTAGGGCCTCAGAGGATGTGAGTTGACTGCAGGTTGACTGTGATTTAGAGACTGTAGTTGCCTGGTTAGCTCTCATTGTCAAGTCATTGACATGTCTGTCTTTGTTCATATTTGCCCACTACTGCGTCATCAAAGACAACTGTAAATATAGGCGTGTACCCAATTAAATCCTGTGTGTTGGACGTAGCCAAACAGACAAACATGTTGACATTACCTGGTGACCTCTATGAGGAAGGGCTATCTGAGCCATCAATCAAACTAGGTTTTTCACCAGCGAGACAGGAAATGGATCATCAGTCAAACAGGAACACACACACTCACAGGACAGATTGATAACCAGGGGGTCTGTTTTATTCTTAATTGCTAGGTTTCTTCTAATGGCAGGGTAATAACAGATAAACACTCTCCATGAAGACCGTTAAAGGGCCAGTCAGTCTTTTACACAATGACAGTTTAATAGGTCCTGCTTTCTGAATAGTCTCTAAGTACCCCTAGTCAGAGTTGATGGTGGTGGGTGATTGAAATGTGATATGAAATATTTACACCCCAATAGGGATAAAATGGTGGCAATTTAAAACGACCTTTATCTGAATGACAAGCAGAGAAAAAATAGCAAGAAACAGTGAGAGAAATGTCCTAACTCAGATCTATCACTTGAGGGATGAACCAACGAAGTGCAAGCCAGTTCCAACAGGATCTACCATGGTACACTCTTAGAAAAAGGGTTCCAAAAGGGTTCTTCAGCTATCCCCATAGGAGAACCCTTTTGGGTTCCATGTAGAACCCTGAGGTTCTACATGGAACCCAAAAGGGTTCTACCTGGAACCAAAAGGGTTCTTCAAAGGGTTCTCCTGTGGGGACAGCCGAAGAACCCTTTATGGTTCTAGATAGCACCTTTTTTTCTAAGAGTGTATGCCATTGGCGTCGGCTAATGGGGATCCTAATAAATCAAAAATCTAATCAAAATACTATAGATCTGTTATAAATGCTGTTCAATACTTTCTTACAATAGACATAGAACCTCCATGTCAGCCATATTGAGTGTACCCATGAGTATACTGTAAAATGACTTCGGTATGAGGAGCTTTGTACCAATTGTATTCATTCTATTTCTATGTTTAGAGGTAAATACTGTTAATAGGGCCCGATCCTAGTCATTCTATATCCATGCTCCCTTACAGAAAAACATGTGAAATCATGTTAAAACATTTTTTTTGGAACACTTCACATCTCCCATTCTAGTCATTGTATTTCTAGGTCAAGAGGTAAATAATGCTATAGGGTCCATTCTAGTCATTATAAATCTATGTTTAGAGGTAAATACGGCTGGCTAAAGGATCCATTCTAGTCATTCTATATCAATGCTTAGAGTTAAATACTGATATAGGTCCCATTTTAGTCATTGTATTTCTATGTTTAGGTAAAGACTGCTGTAGATATGTGGTAAATACTGTGTAAGACTTCCAATACTCACTGACGAAGGATGTCTCTCCCAGGTATCCCCTGCGTCTCAGCGTCACCTCCAGGAACTTGGCGTCCTCATCCACCAGATAGTACTCCTTCTCCAGGCTGATCCACGACCAGTTGAGCCGGAATGGCTGCGGCTTCAGCTTGTTTCCACCTGGAAGACAAAAACAATCCCATTTTCAATTCACAGGAAATCCCAGTTGGAAACTGGTCATACAGCAATGGGGGAAACTATCCATTGTGGTAAATTTTGAAAAACCAATTGGGTGGCTAATTTGACATCCATTTTTGTAAACTCATTGAGCCCTATGACAAAAGACACAGACATTTTAAATTGGGAAGGGTAACTTGATAACTTAATGTCAGGGCTTACCCCCAAATCCCCCATCACAGGCCTCTCGAATGATGCCTTGTTTCTAATTTCCGCTCTCACTCCCTTGTTGCCTCTCTCTCTCTCTCTCTCTCTCTCTCTCTCTCTCTCTCTCTCTCTCTCTCTCTCTCTCTCTCTCTCTCTCTCTCTCTCTCTCTCTCTCTCTCTCTCTCTCTCTCTCTCTCTCCCCCTCTCTCTCTCTGCCCCATACTCTCCACTCTCAGTCAGTGCCAGGCTAGGGTCCTCACCCAGATAGGTCCCTGGCTCCTTTGGCAGGGTTGCCTGCCCCTGGCCAGACTCTTACCTCCTTACCAGGCTCAGTGGGCCAGACACAGGGAATGGGCCAGACAGGACAGAGAGGGGGAGACCAGTTTTTAATGGGTCACATGCTGACAGTGACATAGATAGCTACTGTAAGTGGCGGGCTGCTCAAGGGAATCCCTGTAGCACTAACAAGCTGTGACGCGTCCTGATTTGGGGAAATGGGCTCATCATTAAAAAGAGTGACGACACTTTTTTTCTCTCTATCTCTGTCTGTTGCGCTCTGTCTGTCTCTCTTGCTCTCTGTCTGTCTGTCCCTCTCTCTCTCTCGCTCTCTCTCTCTCTCTCTCTCTCTCTCTCGCTCTCTCTCTCTCTCGCTCTCTCGCTCTCTCGCTCTCTCTCTCTCTCTCTGTCTCTCTCTCACTCTCTGTCACCTCTGACCCAGACCAGACAGTATTAGCAGAGGGGTTAAAGGTGAGGTGCAGAGAGAGGCTCCATTACTCTTGGTGACTCACTGACATGGCAGCCACAGCCGTATCCCTTTAAGCACCAGCCGTATCCCTTTAAAAACCTCTACAGGATCGGCGTCCCTATACCGGGACGGTTGCTGCTCAATATGCGATATGTGACTAGAATGGCGTTGTAAACAGCCAACTTTCCGGGACATAGACATGTCTTATATGGGCAGAAAGCTTAAATCCTTGTTAATCTAACTGCTGTGTCCAATTTACAGTAGCTATTACAGCTAAAAGATACCATGCTATTGTTTGAGGATAGTGCACAACAACAAAACACTTTTGTCACGGCAACGGGTTTGATAAATTCACCTCTGAAGGTAAATAATGTACTTACATTCAGTAATCTTGCTCTGAATTGTCATCCTGAGGGTCCCAGAGATAAAATGTAGCATAGTTTTGTTTGATAAAATCCATTTTTCAAATGTAGGAACTGGGTTCTACAGTTTGACCCCCTGCTGTCTCTGGCTCCACACCCCCCCTGGCCATCTAGATGTGTGAAGTTTAGTGTATTTTCTGTAGGTAAGCTAATGATCCATCATGTATGACATTCCTGGGAGTGTGTAAACTAAAACAATTTATTACCATAGCATTTTTGCATGTTATATATAGTTATGTACTTGAAAATGTATAGACTGACCAATTCGGAACATTTGGGAAAACTCCTGGCAGACTTGATACAAAATGTTGTGTAGTGATGTAATCCTTCACTGGATCAGTCTGAAACTTTGCACACACAATGCTGCCATCTTGTGGACAAACTCTAAATTACACCTAGGTTCCTACGTCAATGTCTGGCCTTTCTCTTACATTTTACATTTTAGTCATTTAGCAGACACTCTTATCCAGAGCGACTTACAGGTGCAATTAGGGTTAAGTGCCTTGCTCAAGGGCACATCGACAGATTTTTCACCTAGTCGGCTCGGGGATTAGAACCAGCGACCTTTCGGTTACTGGCACAACGCTCTTAACCACTAAGCTACCTGCCGCCCCTCTTGCATTTCAAAGATGATTCCCCTCCCAAAAAATAGAAAACGCATGTTTTGTTGTTTGTATTATATTTTACCAGATCTAATGTGTTATATTCTCCTACATTAATTTCACATTTCCACAAACTTCAAAGTGTTTCCTTTCAAATGATATCAAGAATATGCATATCCTTGCTTCAGGTCCTGAGCTATAGGCAGATAGATTTGGGTATGTCATTTTAGGTGAAAATTGAAAAAAAGGGTCCGATCCTTAAGAGGTTGTTAATTAAGCACCAGCCGTATCCCTTTAAGCACCAGCCGTATCCCTTTAAGCGCCAGCAGCTCCTCTGAGGACAAGGGTCACTTCATGTCTACTTCATGTCTACAGGCTTAAAATAGCCCTTTTACTCCTTCGTGTTAAACCTTGGTATTGTGAAAGTAACTCACATTTGTGCCTGTGATAAACAGAAAGATTAACTAATTCATTAAGACAATGTTCGAGTCTGTGACCCATGCACACGGAAACCTCTCATTGAGATTTGAGATTTGCACCTGGACAGGACCCTCTGTAAAACCTCAGACACTTCAGACTTAAAGCGATTAAGACTTCATATCTAGGTCATTTTCACAGCTTGAAGTGTATCTACCTCATTAGGCCCCATGAAGAGAACAGTTGCCATAAAACACACATATGAACCAGACCTGGGTTCAAATACTATTCGAAATCATTTCATAATTTCAAATATGTTGCCTGGTCTCGATTAAGCTTGCCTGACGCAATGGGACCAATAGAATAGTCCCAAAAGTACAACCCCCCCCCCCTTAAGGTATTAAAGAAGATATCAAACAGTATTTGAACCCAGGTCTGAAGCTCGGAGTCACCTGGCACTGATCACCGTTGACTATACGCCGCCTCCTCTGCTCTTAATCCATACTATCTCATGACTCCTTTATCCTTCAAAAGAAAGTTGTCAACTCGCCGCTTGACATTGGCCGCTCTGGACAGACGGAGTTACTTACTTAGCCGGTGACTTTCTTAATGCTTAAATCTTAATCCCAAGCTTTTTTTTTATAACTGCAGCCAGACGTCCAAACGCCTTGGCTTATCCCCTCTCTGACAGGCCCTAGGAGGACCCTTGACCTTGTGTCTGATTGGCCAGAGCTCAGTGGGTTCAGAGGTCCGGGGAGGTTAGAGAGGTGGTGGTTGGTTTTGCACCGCTGGTCACACTGGCAGAAAGGCCTTATTAACCTGTTATTAACCTGACCCCTGAGTCTAACTCTGATCAGCCATGGAGGAAGTAGGTCAATGTCAAGAAAATACCCTTTTATATTAACCCTTTACTTCCTTTAGTGTAGCATCATGGTGGTTGTGGTCATAAGAATATCATTATATTTCTATGGTTGTAGCGCCAGAGTTGAGGATTTGGTAGGTAGACTGGGAAAAGCCCCTGTGATATTAACCATTGATCTCCCTCTAGCAGAGGAGTGCTACTGCTAGCCTAGTAGCATGATGGTTACAAATCTATGGTGGTGGATTTGGTTAGGTCAATGTCAAGAAGTAAAACCCCTTGATATTATTAACCCTGTTGTGTCCTTCAGTGTTTTGAAAGGTGCTTTAAATTCAATGTATTATTATTATCATTATTATTATTATTATTACGTGTTATTATTATTATTATTACAATTATTTATCTCACTCTTGTAGCATGGTGGTTGCAGCTACAGTGTTGAGGATTTGGTAGCTCAATGCGGAGAAAATACCCTTTGGATATTAACCCCTACATAACAGACCACTAAAGAAAGGAAGAAGAGCCAATCCTCTGAGGGGTGACAGAGAACCTGTTAGAGGAGGCTAACTAAGGAAATAAACTCTCACTAGGCTTTATGGAGGACAACAGCATGGAGTATCTGGTTCATTCATGCAATGAGCCTGCATTGGGGTTGGTTTTGCCTGGCTGAGGGAGAAAGGAGCTGTGGGCTTTCTGCTATGTGACTGGGGAGAATGAAAACACTGGAGGGAGGAGATGGGGCCACTTCCTCAAACCCACATATCAACATGGCGCGCCGGGCCAGTACAGAGACACAACAGGGCCAAACCACACTCCGCCAAGCATGGGTGTCAATGACGGTAGATTGAATTGAACTGATACCAACTAGTGGATTTTTCGGGGCATTGGTTAAATTAGATCGTTTCACTCTGTTGTTCACGTAAATCATACACACACACACACCAGAACCCACCCCCCTCACACCCCAGCCCACCACCAAGCTACAGTAGGAGCCACGGAGTCCCAGTTTGACACAGGAGCCCCTAGCACCTAACGGCGGCTAACCTTGACCATGCTCATGTTTCTGACAGCTCCGGCTAAAAATACAGGAAGCATTCATCATGTTTGTCTCTGCCTGCCCCTAATTCCACCACGCTTGATGAGTGTGCATAAGTGGCCAATTGATATACAAGATGAGCCAGCTAACTTCAAAAGAAGATTTGAGTGTTTGATTAAGTGTATTTTCGCTTAGCCTGAGTGGAAATATCAAACACCTCTTGAGCATCTTTGAAATGTAAAATGGAAGTGCAGTGACTGTTGACTTTCGTCCGTCACAGTACTTATAACGAACAGTGCACATAAACCAAATGATACATTTACAGTCACACCTTCAGTCCATCACATTAAGTATAATAATCACTTATCTAGGAAGAAACTTGTACCTGATTTATAAAACCTGTATACTTTTCTCCTCATATCTCCTCAAACCCACAGAATCTGAAGGAGTGTTTTTGTTCAGAACAGCAGCAAGTGTTCCTAGGCAGGCTGCCCAGTTTACATGGAGCTCATATTGAGCTTAGTGAGCCTGTACCATGTATCAGATAGGATTATCAAATGAACGTGGTCGGCGACAAAACGACTCTGTTGTTCTGGCATCCAGACTGGCAAGTCTATCTGACAGCTTGTGGTTTCAGCTCTGACACTGTTACCCATCAAGACACGATGGGGGTAATAATGCCATTTTGTCTTGAGGATTGCAGTGAAATACCTTCTGTTTCTAACATGGTGTAGTTTGTCTGGTGAAATACTGTAGATTCCTATACTATGTAAATAAAATAATACTGAAAACAAAGGAGTCAATTGACCAGTCAGAATTAGAAACAGACTATGAATTAATTAATATGAGCGCTAATTACATTTAATTGATTTAATTTAATTGATCAGCTGCTGTTATTTCTTAATTGTCACTCATTTATCAGGGTGAAATAAGGTCTTGGAGGTCGTTTGAGTTTAAACCTCAGAATAACCTAAATCAACAGGTTGATAAAATAAGACAGATGAGATTTAAGGACATATAGCATTCACCACCTGACCTGAAACCTGTTAAAAAACAGAGTTGGATTACCGACCGGGGAGTGGATGGAAGTCAATTGAAAAAAGAGCGGAGGAAAAGTCTTCCCTATCCATGTCTCCATTTCCCAGACCCGATAGTGATACTGTATGTTCAAGTGACACCATGACATCGCTGTGACGTTATACATACATCATGTTATACATAGATGCACAGTGCAGCCAGTGGAGGGGACCTCAAAGCTGTGTGATATCTGGATAACTCTATGACAACTATGACAAAGGCAATGTCATCATCATCCATGTATTTTGTGTGTTGGGTGGCAGGCGGGCCTCAAAAACTCATCAGCACCTGCTACAATGATACAAGCACACAAACATACCCTTTACAAATGACAAGGTGATATCATTACAATCGGAGTTGTCTGTGTATAATGAATTACACTAATTTCACATTCCATCCCACAGGTGGACATGGCCAGAGCCTTATGTCTGGACATGACCGTGAGACAAGGGCTTCAGATCGGGCCGGTGTGTCGGGCCGGTGTGACACTCCAGGCAGCCATTGTCATGAAAATGTGTCCCCTCTGCTCACAGTGAACCTAAAGCTCTGCACCCTCAGTGGGGTCAGTAGAACCGGTAACATCTGTTTTTCAGGTAATAAGAACATATGAAAAAAATGCCTCTCTCTCTCCCTCTCTTTCTCTCTGTGTCTCAGAGAACTCCTGCCAGAACTTCCGGAAAAAGAAGCTGAGTGACAGCTGTGCCCTCCCACCCCATCCCTCTATCCCTATGCTGGCTTTGTCCCTCCAGGACGAACAAGGGACAGCAGGCCACTGTCTGGGTGGCCCACAGCCCACTGTCCTGGCATGCCTCTCTGCCTCCCTCCCTGCCTCCCTCCCTGCCTCCCTCCCTGCCTGGCTGCCTTTCACAAACTCAGAGGAGGGGATCCTCTTCTGGCTCCTTTTGTGACTCCTGTCAGATACCGTGTCCAGACCTGGCATGGAATCCAACTACACCAGACACGGATCCAATGGTGTGTTGTTATCTTGAGTGCCCACATAGGAAATTAAAAGTTACAGAAAACGTTTTCGTTGTCAAGAACACTATACACTTTCTGCTTTCCATTAGAGGCCACAGCACTACCACTGATTCATATCAACCTAAAGTGAAACTGAAAGGTAGCCTTTCAGTGTTTGTATAAAACTCCATCTCAAATGATATATAGACTGATTAATGCTCAGTGCTGCTGCCTATTTAAACGAACTGAGGCGTCTTGCAGAAGCGGAGAGGGACTCCTTCCTTGGTATTTATGAGAGCAATAACGTGGACAGAGTATGTAAGGCTAAGTAATGGCCACATTCCCTCTGAACCAGGTGTCTCTGCTTGGACTTTCATAAAGTTACAGGAATAGATCAAAATGGTGGGTTCTGATGTCTCTAACTGATTTACGAACTCATTTATTACAATCTTTACAACTAACATTTAGACTGTATATCAACTACACTCCCAGCTCACATTTCTTTTGCGTTTCAAACTGACAATAATTCTCCTCACCATCAGATGAAATGTTTTATAGAGAGACGGCATTTTGAAACGCCCCTGTTTTCAGGCCCTTAATAAATTAGCCCTTTGAGTGATTTATTAATGTTAGGCTAATCATTTGCGTAAGCAGTAAGCACGTCCAGTATATCACAGCCACTGCTAAGCGTTGGCCACTGCACGTTTTTCATGTTTTTAGACCTGAGTGAGAAGACTGGCTGTTTTCCAGGTATGGGGCTCCCTACGGTGCAGCCATCTTTGGATAACTAACTCACAAGGTAGCTAGCTAGCTTGCCCCCCTATGCTCCAACAACATGTAACTTTAGTGGCTAACAAATCGAGTTAATTTACCACTGTCATTTTAATGGCCTGTCAGAGGATTTGCCAAGATTCTCAAGATGGTCTCTTGTGAGCCCCGATGACTGAGGATATAATGGAGACATCAGTTAGGTTCATTCTGATTCCAAACATGTTTGATTGTATCTCCTGACTGTACATCAGAGGAGGCTGGTGGGAGGAGCTATAGGAGGACAGGTTCATTATCATGGCTGGAATTGAATTAATGAAACAGAGTCAAACGTGGTTTCCATATGTTTTATGTGTTTGATATCATTCCATTTATTCCATTCCAGCCATTACAATGAGCCTGTCCGCCGTTGCTAACTACCAGCGCTGTTGTTAACTAGCATAGCAGGTCCCATTGTTGCAAAGAGTTCTGGGATATTAGAATCCTGTTGTCTTAACCTTTGTCATCTTCAACCTAGACCCCGATCAGCAATCCATCCACAAAGCAACCGGCAGACCTACAGAAAACCCTCTCAGTGTCCTTTCATTCCACATTCTTCATCAGGTCATCAGGTCCTATTTACATGGTTACAGTATTCATAGCCATACATAGATGCACTTAGGATAGTGGGTGGGACTCAAGAGGAGGGGGGAGATATCATTGGGAGGTCAGAATGAGGTTTTGACAGCCAAGAGAATGATGCAATGTAGAGCAACAGAAAGCGACGCCCATCTAAGTATATCCTCACTGAGTGACAAGAATGAGGACCATTCAACTAAAGCAGGAATAAAACCCACATGAAAATTGAAAAAAATATATATTGTCATCGGCAGATTTTTCACCTTTTCGGCTCGGGTATTCAAACCAACGAGCTTTGGGTTACTGGCCCAACGCTCTAACCTCTAGGCTCTCTACCACCCTTATCATTACAATCCCTCCAACTAACACCATCAAAATACCTGTGTGAATATAGATTTCACATGTGGTCCATTCATTTAGTCATCATTTTGAGGTGTATGATCAGAATTTCTATACAATTTATTCAATTACAACAGCTTTCTCTTTTTTAACGATGGTCTATGCTACGGTACAGAAAGTGAATTCTCAAATGCCAGAGAGCTCAACTTAGTTTCCTCTGGGGCATTCCGAAGATCCCATGGTTGGGATTTTGGATTGGAGGAGCCAGGCATATTAATAGATCCTATTGGCCACTGCCGCGTACTGTAAAATAACACTGACTCCAGAACAGTGACCTGATCTGGGTCGGAAAGGCAGCATGCCGCACATCACAAGGTGACAGAGAGACTGGGTCCCCCCCAACTGTGACACTGGCGCTTATTGCATCATTTTGGAGAAATCTAACCTAATTGTCCATGGCAACTGGCCAAAATGAATAATTTAATAATATACACAACACTGAGTGTACAAAACATTAAGAACACCTGCTCTTTCCATGACATAGACTGACCAGGTCTATGGTAGTAGGTGCCAGGGGCACCGGTTTGAGTGTGTCAAGAACTACAACGCTGCTGGGTTTTTCACGCTCAACAGTTTCCAGTGTGTATCAAGAATGGTCCACCACCCAAAGGACATCCAGCCAACTTGACATTGGAGTCAGCATGGGCCAGCACCCCTGTGGAACGCTGTTCTGAGGGCAACTCAATAGCAGAAAGGCATTCCTAATGTTTTGTACACTCAGTGCATATGCCATTTAGTAGACGCTTTTATCCGAAGCAATTTACACTCATGTGTGCTTACATTTAACGTATGGGTCATCCCGGGAACCGAACCAATTATCCTGGCATTGCAAGAGCCATGCTCTACCGACTGAGCTAAATGAAACGACTAAGTGGTGTCAGGATTCTTAGTGAATCCTAAAAGAATGTACAGACTGATGGAAGGAGTGATAGAGGAGAAGAAGAGAGAGAGGAAAGGAAAGGTATGGTATAAATGATTAAAATGTAAATGAAAGAGAGGATAGATACTGATGTTATAGATTAAGTGGAAGACATACAGATGTGGGATCTTAATTTGATCACCCTGTTGCAGGATAACTTTCCTGCGATGCAGGACATTTAAAACGTGTAGTGGATTTGAGGTTTGAAAAATGCTTCTGAAGTTTGTAATTTCCACTTTGAAATTTCATACTTGAGTTTCCCTTACGAAGAATGTATCAATCCCTACAAAAATGTACATGAATTATTACAATAATTCACATTTCCTGTTGCTAAATGATTATTTTCCTGCTGTAGCAAACTGGCTCAAATTAACATCCTACATCTGTGCAGAACAAGTGTGCAAGTGACACATCCTTAAAAAGAGAGCGAGAGAGTAGAACATAAAGAAAATGAAAAAAGAAGTATGGGCAGCAGCAGACAGCTTTGCCATATGGAAGCAGATAAGAATAACCTCTAGGGGCCATACATCATAACACCAACACTCTCCCAACCCCAATAAATCTATCTGCCCCGCGTCAGGAGGAGAGAGAGAGGGAGAGGAAGAAGCCTCTGCCTCACAGTCACAGTATACATGTAGGTAGACCTTCCACTGGCACCAGGGGACAGTAAATCGTTGGCCGGCTGTTGACATGGGTGACAGGTTAGATCCGAAAACACACTTAGGAAGTCATGGTGCCTGCTGTGTAAAATGGCCGCGACCCACTCGAGCCTCATTCACTGTCTCTGACTGCCACAACAGCACACAAACGTACAGTTCTGTTATGCGCTAGGCACTAGCCCTTCGGGAAACAAATGTTTTAGCATGGGAACAACTATGGAAAACCATACAGTTGAAGTCGGAAGTTTACATACACTTAGGTTGGAGTCATTAAAACTCGTTTTTCAACCACTCCACAAATTTTTTGTTAACAAACTATAGTTTTGGCAAGTCGGTTAGGACTACTTTGTGCATGACACAAGTAATTTTTCCAACAATTGTTTACAGACAGATTATTTCACTTATAATTCACTGTATCACAATTCCAGTGGGTCAGAAGTTTACATACACTAAGTTGACTGTGCCTTTTAACAGCTTGGAAAATTCCAGAAAATGATGTCATGACTTTAGAAGCTTCTGATAGGCTTATTGACATCATTTGAGTCAATTGGAGGTGTACCTGTGGATGTATTTCAAGGCATACCTTCAAACTCAGTGCCTCTTTGCTTGACATCATGGGAAAATCAAAAGAAATCAGCCAAGACCTCAGAAATAAAATTGTAGACCTCCACAAGTCTGGTTCATCCTGACGGTACCACGTTCATCTGTACAAACAATAGTATGCAAGTATAAACACCATGGGACCACGCAGCCGTCATACAGCTCAGGAAGGAGACGCGTTCTGTCTCCTAGAGATGAACATACTTTGGTGCAAAAAGTGCAAATCAATCCCAGAACAACAGCAAAGGACCTTGTGAAGATGCTGGAGGAAACAGGTACAAAAGTATCTATATCCACAGTAAAATTAGTCCTATATCGACATAACCTGAAAGGCCGCTCAGCAAGGAAGAAGCCACTGCTCCAAAACCGCCATAAAAAAGCTAGACTACGGTTCGCAACTGCACATGGGGACAAAGATCGTACTTTTTGGAGAAATGTCCTCTGGTCTGATGCAACAAAAATAGAACTGTTTGGCCATAATGACCATCGTTATGTTTGGAGGAAAAAGGGGGATGATTGCAAGCTGAAAAACACCATCCCAACCGTGAAGCACGGGGGTGGCAGCATCATGCTGTGGGGGTGCTTTGCTGCAGGAGGAACTGGTGCACTTCACAAAATAGATGGCATCATTGGATTGGCCATCACAAAGCCCTGACCTCAATCCTATAGAAAATGTGTGGGCAGAACTGAAAAAGTGTGTGCGAGCAAGGAGGCCTACAAACCTGACTCAGTTACACCAGCTCTGTCAGGAGGAATGGGCCAAAATTCACCCAACTTATTGTGGGAACCTTGTGGAAGGCTACCCAAAACATTTGACCCAAGTTAAACAATTTAAAGGCAATGCTACCAAATACTAATTGAGTGTATGTAAACTTCTGACCCACTGGGAATAAAAGCTGAATAAAAGCTGAAATAAATAATTCTCTCCACTATTATTCTGACATTTCACATTCTTAAAATAAAGTGGTGCTCCTAACTGACCTAAGACAGGGAATTTTTATTAGGATTAAATGTCAGGAG